ACAAAACAGCAAATTAGTGTGGTGCTCCAATGATGCGGACAGCCAAAATGTTAGTGCCGGATTGCTATTGAGGAGATGAATAGAAAGTGTGCGATGAAAAGGACCTTTTTTCGGTAATCAATCATGGCACTGTGTTTTGATTGGCCAGGCCAATATAGTCGATATGAAAGTAGCAAAGCCAAAAGTGAAACATGAGCCTTATATGCTGGTTTTGCCTCATTTTTTTTTTTATTTTCAATGCGAAATCGTTCTCCTTTGTTCTGATAATTATGTGTACAGTTCAAGTGAAAAAAATCGCATCAACAGCAACAGCAACAACAACATCAATGACAATATAAATAACGCGACAACTTTATCAGTTCTGAGTAAATTGGATTGAAACCACCATGCATTGCATTTTATGTATATTCCGGTTCAAAACTTCGTTGATGGAGATTCATTCGTTCGACAACAACGACGATGACCACGACGACAATGAAAATCGACGAGAGACGCAACCTCCAAAAAAGAAATAAAATAATGAAACACGTGCATTTGGTTTAAATAGCGTGAGAGTAGCTAATAGTTCTTATGCAGTAAATAATATACGATCCTTCAACCTTTAGCTTTTTTTCTGCTGCCTCATAATACGGTTGCAATTCTCAGGGCTTAAATATTAAATTTACCGCAGCCTTTACTCGCATTTGCTTCTCTTTTTTGATATATAAAATCAATCAGACCTTGAAACATTCTCTTATAATAAAATAAATCGGCCTTTTGATGCCGAGAGAAAAGAGCGCACCATACACTTGAATCTCGCAGTGATGTCTGGAGACATCTTTACAATAAACCCAAACAAATGTCACATATACACATTTAGCCGTGTAGAGAAGAAACAGAGAATGTACAGAAAGATCTTAATTCTAACGTTACTGCGCACCTTTCTAGGATTTAAATAAGCCATACTCTTAATCCAAATCGTTTTCGGTATTGACATGATTGGAATTCAATCTCGGAATTTTTCGGCTGCCAAAAGTCAAGAAATGAAGCGCGAAGAAACAGACACGAGCAGCGGTTTCGAAAGAGCCAAACATTTTAAATAGCCAAAAGAAATTTGTATTGTTTATTGGTTTGTTGTAGTGTTTTTTTTTTTCATTCATTCATTCATTTCTTTTTCATCTTCTTCTCCGACTTCTGTTCGAAATTACAAAATCAAGTTTTCAAGCCGAGCATTCCACAATGTGTCGACACGCTTTTGTGAAAAATTGAATTTTCATTAAATGAAAGTGTGTGAATTTTTCTCTATTCGATCTCTAATCAAGCTCACACCGAATTTATTGTATGAGTGTGTATGTATGAGCCGAGCCTTCACTGTTGTTGCCGCCACCTTCCACCAATGCTACCGCTGCCACTGCTGTCGCATTGCTGAAATGTTTAGTCATTTGCTAGTTGATTTTGTACACGGAAGTTTATTTGACGAGAAAAAAAAACAACAAACATATCGAAACAATTATCAAATGGAAATGAAACTGTCCTACAACAGAAACAGTAAAGTACAAAATCATACGTTGTAACGATCAACCAAAATGAACAATAACAAAAAAAAATTCGTGAAGAAAAATGAAGGGACTGTTCCAAAAAAAAAAAAACGAGAAGCCCAAAATACACACAAACACAAAGTACTCTCCAACATCAATTTTCATCACAAGACAAAGACAAATGAACGAAAATTAAGATGAAACCGTAAACGAATCGACGGAATTACACAAGAAAAACTTTCTACTTTTGAAAAGTAGACCACAGATCATTTCGTTTCGTATTTCTTTTTTTATTCCATTGGTTTCTCGGCGTTCGGGCTTCCTTTCCCTTTCGTTTATTTTGTGTATTCACTGCGCAACTTTGTGTGCTGTGTTGATAATTTCTTTTTCTTTTCTTTGGATGGATTTGATGGATTTCGTATATACGCTACACACTAACTACTCTCCCAATGTGTTATTATATTCATACAGCATTCGGAGGGAGCGAAGAGAAGATGAAGAAGAAGAAGAAGAAAGCAATTCGGGAAAATTGAGTGAAGATGCCGAAAAGATGTGGTATATAGATTGTGTGTATACGCTTAAAGATGGAAATTCGGCAAACAATTTTCATAAAATTGGAAATGGCGCATGTGTCATCTCTGTGTTCCATCTCTCTCTCTCTCTCTCTCTCGCGACAAAAGACGAGATACATGGTTGACGATGTTGGTATTTCGATGATTTTTCCCATTTATCTACATATCATGATCCCCCATGAGATCGACATTGGTTTGGATGGCACAAACAAAGCAATAAAATTGTGTTTGCCTTCTGAAATCGTGCAAAGAAGATAAGCAAATACATGCTATTTGAATATAGTATCCATGTTGTGGTCGTAAATTGAAATTAAAACATTTTAACGTGCCCATTTGTACGAGAGAATGAAGTCGTGCATATGACAACTGTTGATCACACACACAGACATACACGCAGTTAGTTCGAATTGAAACTAGAGGAGTGAAAAAAAAAAGTCATCGCTCTGAAATTTTTTTTTTCTTTTCTGAGTTTAGATATAATAATACTATTTTCATAATGAAAAGTACAGTCATAATATTTTATTAGGCACGATAATAAGTGACCACTCATGATATAAGTTGTAGGACCATGTACTGACGGCAATGACGACGCTGTATGCTAGTGCATATTGGCTGTAGCTCGTTTTGTCTATATGGTGTAATGCTTGTTGGCAAACGGCGTCAACTACTTTTCCTCGATTTCGGTTTTACGGGCGAAATTTCGCAATTTTCAACTTTCACCAAAGCGATTTGCCTAACGAAATGTCAAAAAAAAACAAAACACCATAATATACGGTGTGTGTGTGCTTGGTGCATTGAATTTTCGAATTGAGATACATTGAGCACGCGCACGAGCGAGCGGCAATGAATATGTGCGTGTTTGGCTTTACAGCATTTAAATAAAAATCGGTGAAATAATAATAATAGACGTACACACAACCTTTCACGCCACGGTGCTGTGTGTGCAGTGTGTGTCCGTGTTTGTGTTGGTGTGGGCAATAATAATCGAATACAGTTGCTAGCGGGAAGAGAAAAAAATACAGAGATTTCTCATTTATTGAACGGAGATAAATGAAAATTGAAGATTAAGTATAGTAGTACTTTAATGTAGTTTTTCTTAATGTGGCCCCGTGTGTGTGTGCGCGCGCGCACATGTTGTTGCTGCTGCTGCTGTCGCTGTTGCCTGCATTGTTTCATCGTTTCGTTTCGTTTTTTATTCATTATGTGTTATGCTGTGCGCTAGAAAGAAAAGATACTGAACTGAATACATCGCTTGAGTTAGGTGAAAAGTATTCAGTCGTTATTCTCATTTTTTTTTACGGAAAACACAAATTCAAATCCAAACACATAATACATAACCATTTTGTATACAAACACAAATGCCTATGTTGGATACATACAATAATTATGAATTGAAAAGAAAACGAAGTAAGTGGAGCAACATACATTTTATTTAGTTCAAATGTCGTTCTCATTTGCTTACACGTGGTCTTCGTAGCATTTTTCTTCTTGGGCACACGATATTGCGATAAATACACACACTCATTCGAACACACATACGCTTTGGTGAGTGCTCATTTGACTTTGTTTATGAAATAACATGAAATTAGAGTGCACACAAATCAACAACGAATTTGGAAAGCATACTCTTTTTTTTCTCCTCTCTCGTCATTTTCGGCGTATTTCATCGTTGGCACTTTTCAAATGGTAACAAAATCCATGGTATATGATTCAAAAGACGGAGCAGAGAGAATGAATGACATAATCCCAGATCCAATGAGAGCAATCAAAAGAAATATAACAATGTACAAAAGAATAGTAATGCAATGCACGGCTCGGTTTGACTCTTGACAGAATCCAATGTACTCGTATAAAACTAGAATTATTTTATTCTGTCCAACGCATTTTGATTTGAATGTTTTTTTTTGATATTTATTTTGGATTATTGCATTGTGGCTTCAATACTAAGAATTATTCAAATGCATAAGCACACGCATACAATCACGCGCGCGCGCGCACACACACACGCAAACACAGAGCGAGAATTTATTTATAAGTCAATTTCCTGGCATTGGCAATAATAAACGAATGAATGGCTTCCTCAAAAACCATATGACCTTTAAACGACATCGAAACTTGATCAAATTGTTGTTTTGTATATCAAAAACGAAAAAAAAAAAACATAACACACAAAAACAACACAGAAAAATGTTCGATGTCATCGGGTAGAAGCGTTCTTGTTTTTGTTTAACAGTCGTATCGTCATCGTTGTCGTCGACGCTGTCGTCTGTTTTGTGAATTGATTATAGGTTTTATTGTTTTGTCACTTTGGAAAACTATACTGTGTGTGTCTGTGTGAAGATCATCCACCCGCACGGCCACCAATCGGTCGACAGTTTCTCGTATGAATGGTGAAACTGTCATCAAGAGCGATTACAATAGAAATTAGTTCCAGCGCGCGCCCTGGCCCGACCCTGAAACACATTAACAAGTATAAATACACGAAAGAAGGAAAATAAAAATATTATTAAATGTATAGTACATGCCTAAATGAATGAAAAAGTGAAATAATTTGTAATTTTGAACTATTTATTATATTGTTGCGAAATACGATTTTATTTTCTGTTGTTGCTTGTTGTTTTTGCGGTTGCGGTTGCGGTTGCGGTTGCGGTTGCTACTGGTGCAGCAGCAGCTTTGGAACGAAACAATAAATTGTGATTTTGCCCGCCTTAATTAAGTAATTAATTTATCTCGTCGTTAACATATACACAAAATTCAGAACAATGATTGAGACCGAGTGCTCATACTCTCATTTTGTTGTAAATCAATCTAAACCAAATAAACAAACAAAAAATCGTGTAAAAGAATCGGAACATGCATATTTATATTTTTATTAATATCATTCTTCTTCTTCTATTTTTCTTCGTCTTAGGTTGCCGATTGTAAGTGACTGTCCGGCCGGTCAAACAGAAAGAATTGCGTCTAATCTACATTCACCATCAAGTAGTAGTACAATGGCAGTGAGTCGTGTACCGTCACCACCACTCCCTGAAGTAAATACACCAGTTGCAGAAAACTGGTGTTACACACAGGCAAGTAGAACATTTTACACTTTATTCAAGCTACACGGCGTATTTGAATTACGAACGCGCGCGCACACAGTCATCAGTATACGGTTCATTAATGTGATAAAAAATCATTTCGAAGCATTGATTAAATCAGTCCGAGTTTCAGCCCTCTTCATCAATAATAAATTGGAGTCATTTTTGGGTGACACCTTGGACTGGATACTGGAAAAAAAACGAAACGAAGCACAAACCATTAGCATCATTAGCTGGTCACACATTTTGACCTAGTAGATCAATATGTTTTTCGAACAATTTTAAACAATTTGACATAGTTATAATGTGATTAACTATCGTCGCCATATCTTTTCATTGGCCCCCTTTTTCCCGTGAAATGCACGATCCGAAGAACAATACACTGATTTCGAACGCAAACAAAAAAAAATCTCACACTTGATAGAAAGAAGCAGTATTTCGGACGAAAAGCCAAACACAAGATAAACAAACTGTCAACGATAATAAATTGAATGAGCTGTTCATAACAATTCAAACGGAATCACAAATTATTACCAAGAATTAGTCATTTATTTGGCTTGGCTCAATTTTTTCTTCTCATTTATGATAGCCAATTGATTTGTTTATTCTATATTGAGCTTAGTTCAGTTGGTCCATTATAGTCTGAAAATTTACTCAGTTTCCACCAAATAGTAGTGGTGATCGCTCCTCACTTGTTCGAAGCGAATTTATATTCTTCTTCTGGAAAAAATAATGAAAAACAGAAAAAAAATATTCAACATGGCTCATTAGTTACAGTAAAAATAGTGAACTTGGATTGTTTTGAGTTGAATTTTGTTGTTCGTTCAATTTTAATCACCACATTTCCAATTTCTCAATATACCTACTGCACCACACCTGTCATTTGCCTCTGAAAATGAAATGATGAAATTCAAGCAGGTAATGAAATTGAATATGACAAAATGCGAACAAAAATCGGCTTGGTTCGATTGCCGCTACCACAAGCGTATGTTCGTACAATTTCACTTCATTCTATACATGACGCCTGAACGAATAATAAAAAAAATATTGAAAATAAATTTAAAAATAATTTTCGATAGGCAAAACGCATTTTGCAAATGCGGCTGGGGTGGAAAATGAAAGAAAAAGTCGAAAAAAAAAATAAAAAAAAACTGTTGGGCTCAAAGGAGAATCGAACTCCTGACCTCTCGCACCCGAAGCGAGAATCATACCACTAGACCATTGAGCCTTAGTCAGAAAACGAACAAGAGACATTAAGAGCAGAACGCTCAAATCGCCGTAGAAGTGAAAGCGTGTGTGTATGTGCGGTATACGTGTGCGCAATACGCATGGTCGTGGATTGTGTTGTGCGAATGAATGCTTTGTGGCCATGTGACGAACGAAAAAACGAACGACATGTGCACACTGACGAATGTCAGCACCGTTCGAACCAGTTTATTTCGTTTCAATATTTTTTCTTCTTCTCTTTGTTCCTCACTGAAGCAACGCACACAGTAGAAAGAGATCAGTTCCTCGTCGTAGCGAGAGAGTAGCAAAATCTTCAAACTATTATTTCTTTATTCGTTCTCGTTTCCGTTGTTGTTACTGCTGCTGTTCAGTTTGGTTTGGTTTCGGGGAGAGAAAAAAAGAGAAGAAAACACATCATTCGACATGAATTGAATGTTGCTCGTTGGACACAAAGAGGAAACATTACGTCCATGACATACATACTATCCTTGCCATGGCATAAGGATACTCCGAATTGAAAATTATCATATTCATTTAACATATGTGTGAACAGTGACTGCGGACTCTTTTTTTTCGGGTTGTTCGAACACAACAGTTCTTGTATGTTATGATAGATATACATGTCGTCGAATGAAAAACTGTCAAGCATTTGGAATGCTTTTCGCTTGGCTAAAGACAGAAGACCACGTAATATTCTCTTTCTATAATCTATTTTTTTTCTCTTGCTATCAAATTGTCATTGTTTGAAAATGCGAGAGCCATTCATTCATTCATAAAATCGAACCAATTACGAACGAAACAAAAAAGAGGTTGTATCATGCCCATTGTTATAGATTTTGTTGTTGGTGGTGGTGGTGTAGTAGTTGTAATTTTGGCCGCGACTATCTCATTGCCAATTGGGAGAAATTGATTTTAACGTTATTAACGCGCATTGTTTTGTCTCTCTCTCTCTCTCTCTCTCTCTCCCTCACATTTCTAGGTCAAAGTTGTAAAATTCAGCTACATGTGGACAATAAATAACTTTAGCTTTTGTAGAGAAGAAATGGGAGAAGTTTTAAAATCATCAACGTTTTCAGCTGGTGCTAATGACAAACTTAAATGGTATGTATGGCAGTGCTTGTGTTTTATTTTACTTTTCTTTCGTTCAATTTCATTTCGGGTCAAGCGCAAAATGATAATATTTATTTTTGTTTCTAATTAAACACACAGGTGCCTACGAGTTAATCCAAAAGGCTTAGATGAAGAAAGTAAAGATTACTTGTCACTGTATCTCCTATTAGTCTCGTGTAACAAATCCGAGGTCAGAGCCAAATTCAAATTTTCAATATTGAACGCGAAACGAGAGGAAACCAAAGCAATGGAATCACAAAGGTTCGTATCATCAACCCTGCCGTCGGCATACATTGTCGGCCTCAAAACTGTGTTTGTTTTAATCCATTAATTTTTTCTATCCTCCAATTTAATCGTCGATGTGTAGGGCTTACCGTTTTGTTCAAGGCAAGGATTGGGGTTTCAAGAAGTTCATCCGACGAGACTTTCTGCTGGATGAAGCAAATGGATTGTTGCCAGAGGATAAACTAACAATATTTTGTGAAGTTAGCGTTGTAGCTGATAGTGTGAATATTTCCGGACAAAGTAATATAATCCAATTCAAAGTTCCCGAATGCAAATTATCGGAAGATCTGGGCAATCTGTTTGATAATGAGCGCTTCAGTGATGTTACATTAGCTGTAGGCGGTAGAGAATTCCAGGCACACAAAGCAATCTTGGCTGGTAAGTTGTGTCAAATGCATTTGGTTTCGTTAATCGAGAGAAGAAAAAAAAAGAACTCATTCCGAATCATTTATTTTGTATTTGGCACGAACAGCACGAAGTCCCGTGTTTGCGGCGATGTTTGAGCACGAAATGGAGGAGCGGAAACAAAATCGAGTGGCTATTTCAGATGTTGACCATGAAGTATTGAAGGAAATGCTGCGATTCATTTACACCGGTAAAGCACCCAATCTGGAAAAAATGGCCGACGATCTGCTTGCGGCTGCTGACAAGGTTCGTTCAATCAATTCAACACGTACGGAGCTGCATTTTAAAATGCGCTCAAGGCAACATGGAAAATATGGTATTAATGAAATGAAATATGTGTCTGTGTGTTTTCGCAAACAGTATGCTTTGGAAAAACTGAAGGTGATGTGCGAAGAGGCACTCTGTGTTAACCTTTCTGTAGAAACCGCCGCCGACACACTGATATTGGCCGATTTACACAGTGCAGACCAATTAAAAGCCCAAACGATAGATTTTATCAACACGTAAGTGATTTGTGTTCTATTGGAGGAGTTCGTTAGTTTGCCCATTTTGACTTTTATTTCAATTTCCCAATCGAACAGTCATCCGACGGATGTGACAGAAACACTAGGATGGAAGAATATGATAGCAAGTCATCCACATCTCATAGCTGAGGCTTATGGAGCGTTAGCAACACAACAAATCCCGCCAATTGGACCACCTCGTAAACGCGTTAAGCTGAGCTGAAATAAAGCTTTAATAGCGTCTACCTACAATCACAATATCAAACAAAACAACAACAACGACAACGAGAACAATAGCAGCAACAATGTGAATACTAAAGAGAATATCAACGGTGAATTCGACATTTCAGCAGTAGCATCATCTGAACACTCCGAAAGTGGCAATTTCTAATGCAACACAACACACACACACACACACACACACACACACATCAATGCCACACGGTGGAACTAAATTACCTAAACATCATTAAAAATCATCATCAACAGCATCAAATGTCACACTCAAATCATATGTTATGATATTTCAAGTAGTTCAGATAATGTGAATGTGAATGTGAAAGAGTGTAACATTTAATTTACAGTGAAAATACACACATTTTTCTCTCTCTGTCTCTCTCTTTCTCTCCATACAAATGGTTGAATCGTCTTCGTCGATCGAAAGGAAGACATTAACAGAAAAACAAAAAACAAACACAAACACAGAACAAAAACGGAAATAACTGAAGAAAATGGAGTATGAAAACAATACTTATACACACAACAAGTCTATTATCGACGAAACAACAACAAAATGATGAATATAGCTCAGCGACACAAAAAACCACAACCATATTTGACATAAAACGACCCCATAAAAGTTTCAACATAAATAACGAAAATAAAACATAGCAATATTAGGTATATACACATATATATACACAAAGCAACTGTACATAAACAAACAAAAACAAAAAAATGCAGACAGGAAAGAACAATACAAGAAAAAAAAATGAAGAGAAAAAATAAAATTGTGGCAAACAAGAAAAAATGTAAATACAAAAGATACGATAATTGAAAGATGATTGTCATTAAATTAGTGAAACCAAACCATTTTTTTCCTACCATCCTTCGGAACAAAGCATCGAAGCCAGATGCGCCATTCAACATTTTCCACAATTCAAACGAGAAAAGAAAGAAAACCATTTGAATCTCATGTAGAAATGAAACATTGATGAGATGCATTATATCCAAATCGAATGTTGTTTTATTCATTTACTATCGCAACTACGATTTGTCTGTAAATTGAAATCAGCATTAAGAAAAAAATACAAACAGAAAGAAAATTGAACAAGTTTCATAAAAAAAGGAGAGAGAGTAAATTTTTCTTTGTGTACATGATTTATTTTAATTCTTTTTTTTTGATGAGATTCAAGAACATTTAACAAATGATTGTATCTTTTGAGGGTTTCGAATGATGAACCAATTTTGCAAAAAAATAAAAAACAAAGAAACACAAATAAACTATAAACAGTAAAACATACAAATCTTCTAAGTAATGAAACAAGTGTACAATTAATATGTATCGAACTTCGACATTGATATCGACCGAAAAGAGATGAACACAGTGATTTATTATATCGAAGGCAAAGTTCAATTTTTAAGTTCACAAAGTTTTTTTTTTGGGCGGAACATATTGTTCGTGTAAATAGTTTGATCTGTTCCATGTCGCATTGAGCATTGTAGTTTTACATTATTATGACATTTTGCAGTGAGAGAATCGAATAAATCTTCTTATTAAAACCTTTTTTTGTTCGTCGTAGTCGTCGTCATCTTTTTGATTGAACGCTCGCCAGGTTATACTGAATAAATATAACAAACAGAATTGAGATTTTTTTTCCAAATGGAAATCAAACAAACAAAAAAAAGGGAAAGTTAAGATACAATTTTTTTTTCATCTGAAGAAACAGTCAACAAATATAAAATGAATTGAATGACACGGTAATATTCTTATCGAAATATTTTGTTCAAAACCAAACAGTGTGATGTTTTAGCAGTTATTTTATACCAGCTGGTAAATAGACGCATAAAGTAAAATTTAAAAAAAAAAACAAAAAATAAAATAAAAGAAAGTACTAATAAAAGATTTTATAAGTATTCTTTGGAACTCAAATAAATAGATAACTAAAATTTTAATAATTTGTCCATTGTTTTTTTCTTTGTTTTCAATTTTTGTTGTTTTTTTCGATCAAGGATTTTCCATGTCCCAATTAACAGGGCATTTGGCAAATAGTCATTGACTATTAGTCAATAGAATGCTTGGTCGAATATTTGTACGACAAGTACAATCGAGTGGAAACGCGTTCATGAATGTTTGTGCACTATGATACATGGATTAGTCTATCTGACACTTGGCGGCTATAGTTTTGTTTCTTATTTATCCATTGGTTTTTTTTTATTGTAGGCTTGGTATCAATATTGTATGCGTTCAATTGCAAGACAAGGGAAAGCAACCATTTCAATTGAAAATAATTCGACGAACCATTTCGGCCACTAAAATTGGCTTCTCGAAGAGGTAAATAGACATTTATGGGCTGTGTGCATCGATGGCGAATGCCACATCGCTATCAAATAATGAGGTAAATGTGATGACAGCCCCTTCTGAAAACTTCACTCCAACCGATTCAGGTAGTACGTAACAGTAAATTGATGCTCGAAAGTTTCAATTTTATGCTTGAAAAACTACATCAACCCGTGAGAAAAAATAGCAAACCTTATTGAGATTTATGTAAAAGCGAGACTTGAATTTGTTTATAGAAAAAAGAACATCAATCTTCAAATAGTACACACACAGAGGAGAGTTTTACTAGGGGAATTGATAAAATCGATGGTTTTTGTGACATCTTGTAAAATTAACAAAGAAGACAGCTGAAATAATGAAAAAAATATGAGATTTTTAATGATTTCATTGATTTTGATAACAATAATACAAAATGGACATTTTTTTCATTATAAAAAGTTTTTTTTTGGTTTTTTGCTTTTTGATTTGTTTTTATTTTAATTTTTTTAGAACAATGTTATGGAATGGTAACATGAATACAGAAACATTGTTTCCACTTCCATAAGAGCCAATGTTATTCCCATGATTTTTGTTTCTATTAAAATGTTCACTCTAACTTGAAAATCATTTGCTCTTATGGTAGTTGAAACATATCAAGTTCAATGTTCTCAATTGCACCAATTTTAATTTTGGCAAGTCAAAAATATGAACGACACTAAAACTAAGGAATCAATCAATGTCCATTTGTTCATCGACATTAGGTAACAGTTCACAGAATACTGGTGCGTAATCGGAAATGTAACTAACATACTCGCCCGATGAAATTTCAGTAAAATTTGCGAATGCAACAGTAGATTGCACTGGCAACTTATTTTGTAGTCCACACTTTTCCATCAGTTGTGCCAATGAATCTTTTTCTGTCCAATTATTATCAAAGTCGCCAATCAATAGTCGTTTTCCTGACGTTTCTTTTATTGCTATTTCAATTTGATTTACAAAAATTGAGTCAAGTGTGGATGGTGATTTGTATCCAGTCATAACATAATAATCGTCAAGTTTTAATACAATAACCTCTGATCGATGAGGCTTCGAGTTTTTCTTATTTGTTTTACGGATAATATTCTGTGTGATTTCAACGTTTATGGTGTCTTTTGCAAAAATTAGTACACCGAATGAGTTTCTATCTCCAAGACATTCGGAATGATGAATCAATTTAAAGTATGGTAACGATAACGAGGATTTGTCTGATTTCATCGTTTTCGTTTCAGAAAGAATTAACAAATCAACTCTTTCATACCATTTATCATACGCGATATGCGGCTGAGCGGCAAGGAATGAATTTACATTATGAAAAGCGACTACTGGTCCGCTTTTCTGTTCTAAGCTATTGAAGGAAATTTCCAAATTCCTATTTGATTTTAATTCCTCCAAAAATCTCATTGTTGGATCATTTGGTGATGGTGGTTCTGGAGCCTTAAAATCTCCTTGTATACTCAGATCATCAGATTTTCTTACACGACTCATGGCTACATATTTCATTTGGCGAGAAGTGCCCGCTACCGCTACACAAGCTCCATCATATGTTTGACCTTGCGCTTTATGTATTGTTTGCCCTTCGGCTGGGTACAATGGAAATTGCTCACGATTAATAGATACCTTTGAATGTTGCATCTTGACTTGTTTCATTCTGATTGGCACCCAATCATTTGAGCCAATTTCATTTCTTTCTTCATTGGACAACTGTGTTTTTGCTTTATTCCCAACATTTCTTTGTGAACCACAATTAAAATCGAGAAATAGAACTGCAGGCATTGGTGGTTCCTGATTATTGTACAGAATATGTTTCAATTCGCCAACAGATCCATTGACTAAGCCATCCGAAACATCAAGATTGGTGGTAATAACATATTTTATCCCGGTTTTTAAACTTAGTTTCGAAGGTAAACCACGCGTTTCCTGATATTTTTTTCTCCTAATTTCTTCTAAAAGTGTTCTTTTAGTTTCTTCTGAAACATTCCGTGATATTACTTGATCTGTAGAGTATACATCAACTCCAATTTCTCTATGGTTCGCTATTTTCGCATTATTATGCTTATCAACATCCGCATTGTATCTGAATAAATAAGTAGCGTCTGCTGGTGCCTCTCTTCCTTCTGATGATTTTATCAAAGCTATATTAGCGTCAGTCATTGTACCATGTGCCATATTATTTAAAGCATCGATAAAGTTCTCTTGTCCCCCGGTTTGCCGCATGATTTCATTCAGCTTAAAGTACTTGAAATCACTCCATAAGGCACTGTGAAATAAAAAAAATGTAAAACATCAGCGCAGAAGTTTATTTTCGTAGACTATTCAACATTTATTGTAGCCGCACTAGCTATACATTAATGCGAGCAATACAGTGAACATTAACGATTACTGGCGGATGTTATAACACACATGACTTATACACAATATCTTACCTGAAACCTTTGTCATCAGATTCACTGATACCTTCTTTTTGTGGTAAAAATGAGAATTTCCCAATTGGTGGCAATTGAAGTAGATCACCGACAAAAATTACAGAGAATCCGCCGAAAGTCGATGAATTTGGATATAGATTCTGTAATCGTCTATTGACTCGTTCTAGTAAACTAGCGCTAACATATGATATTTCATCGATTATGATAAATTTCAAATCCTGCATTTGTTTCCTTAGAGCTTTCTTAGTCTTTTCCCCCATACGATCTTTAGTGGATTCAACAAGTAAACTGAACGCCGAATGAATCGTCATTCCACTTATATTATTAGCTGCCTTGCCGCTTAATGCGGTTAATAACACTTTGATTGACGCTTGATTTGCACCTGGCAACGTATCATAGTAATTTGTAATCAGTTGGTAAAGTGTATTGATGACAAAGCTTTTGCCAACTCCAGCCGAACCATTCAAGAAAATACGAAGTGCTAAATTCGTTCCGGTTTTAATGCATTTTAAGATGTGCATAACCAATGTGCGTTGTTCTTTGTTGAGTTTTTTCGTCAATTCCAAAATTTCATTTTTTGAAATTCTTTGCGGACAATATAATTCTTTGATTTCGTTGTTTTCATTATTTGATTCTCCAAACTGGTCACCATGCACTGCCTCACGATGACTTTTGAAAGCAGATTCGCTATCGAATTCCTGCTCACATTGGCAAATATAATATATAGTTTTATTGCGAATTTCAATATTCATTCGCTGGTTGTTATTTGATGTTACACTTGAACTTGCCATATTTAATTTTTTTTGTTTAGTATGCGAAAAGAAAAACTGCAGCATTCACTCCTATTTAACTTTAATTTCACAAATAGGGAAGAAAAATTGATGACTAACCCCTTATATATTCGGAAGATGGATAAAACCGTCAACATTTGACAGTTGATGCAAGACCTAATGTTAATGTAAATGTTCGCATACTTATAAGATAAAAGGCGTTGTGCATCACACTTTAAGTATGCGTGCGATGGTGGCTAAGTGTATGTGAATGCGCTTGTTTGTTGACTTTTGACTGACACTCATTGTTTGGCAGGTGCCATTGAACATGTAAACCACTACCGAAAATCAATTTCGGGAATATTCAATCATTAAAAACACAACTCATTTATGAATGCCTCACGCTTTCTACCGAAAAAAATGGATTATTTTATTTTTTATTTAATTGGATCTTAATCAGTACGGGTTTTTTCTCTCTCTGCGATGTGTCGAACAATCTCCAAATGAAAATTACAAATAATATTTTTAGTTGGTGAGTGCGATAAGGGCATTAACCACATCGCCTCTGTGTTCTCGTAGCACTTTTTCGGCTTGTTGACGCGAGATGAGAAGTTCGTTTACCTGTGTGAACGACAGAAAAGTCAATTGCAATTTCAATTGGATATGCACATACATGTGTATGTATAACAAATGAATAAAATCGATGATACAAATGGATGCATGCTTACAATAATGTCAATGTCTTCTTTTTTCACGTGAATCTTTTGTAATTCTTGTTCCTTTGCCAATTTTTCGGCGGCCTCTTTGTTTCTTTTGTCTCCGAAAATATTTATTGCCTGCAAAATTCAAGTTTCATTCAACATTGTGCAATAACAACAAACAAAACACGATGAATAGAATTGAGGTTAAAATAAGAGGGGTCTCGCTTACATTTGATATATCCGCTGATGAGAGTTCCTTTTCTTCGGCATAATCTGTAACACGTTCCAAATCGGCAACACCACCATCGTGTTTTGCTACTTTCTTCTGCGATTTTTTGTCTTGGGCCTCATCGGTGCCGTTTTGCGAAATCTTTTCGTCCATTGTGTGTGTATGTCTAACCAAATTATTTAAAAAAAAACTATTGACTACTGATGTTCAATGCAATGCAACAACAACTAAGCGAGATTTCGCTTTCTGACTTTTAATCTGTCATTTGTGTGCTCAAGGTGTGTACTTAACACGGAAAGGAGCTGCTATCGATCAAACTAATTGAAAATGGACAAAATGAACTGACAAAAATGAAGATGTTTAATAGATTTTCTTTCTTTCCTTTGAAAATTTCCCAAAAATATGTTCAAAGCTTTGTTTTTTTTTTTAGTTTACGTTCAATCAAATTATACGACAATGCTCAATCGTTAAGTACGAAGTACTGAAATGTCATTGATTGACACGATGTGCAGCACCTCTACCGACAAAAGTTTCGTTTACCGCACCGAACATTGACAGTTCATCTATTTACATGAGTTGTGTACCGAACGCGATAAAAAATATTCAGCGATTGAAAAACGTTTTATTTTTTTCTTGGGAAGTATTTTGAAAACACATTCCAATGGCGTCTAGTTTGAAAAAGAAGTACACGCAAAATGATTTGCGACGATTGATGGCCGAGCAAAAGGCAAAAACTGCGCCAAAAACCACTACAACCACCATAAATTCACCGCTGGCAAAATATCCTTTTTCAAATTTTTAACACTTATTTCAAAACCCAATATTTATTTACAGCTTAAAAATGAATTGATTTGATCAAAATTTCGATTTATTTTAATCATTATTTCCTTAACCAAAAATTGCAATCATTTTCCCTTGTCGTAAACACGTACAACGATTTAGGTCAGTTGATGTGTATATTGTGCAAATCGGTCGTTCGTTCAGAGGATGTTTGGAAGGTGCACTTAAACACGAAACTTCATAAACAAAATGTTGAACTGGCGAAAAAATCTGCGTTAGCTAGTAGTAGTATGCCACCGCCGTCATTCAAAACACCAGCTGTTCCGGTAAAACGTGCGGCACCACCTCCAGTTCACGATGTACCGGCCAAAATCCCGAAAGGTATTTTGAAAAACAGCAGCAAACCAACCAACGCTACGGTAACACAGGTCACAGACAATTCTACTAAAGAGATAAACACTAGTTCCGGCGCCAGTGATAAAAATGAATTACCCGACAACTTTTTCGATAATCCATCTCAAAATGCCACCAATTTCTACGAAGCAACGCTGACAAAGACTAGTATCAAAACCAATTTAGTAAGTATTAAACGAAATGCTGACTCAGAGGAAGCAAACGTCGATGCAGCGATGGAACAGCATAAAGATGAAACACTGCCCGAAGGATTCTTCGACGATCCAATCAAAGATGCCAAAGCCAGGCACTCCGAATACAAAGATCCAGTCGAAGAAGAATGGGAGAAATTCCAACAGGAAATTAAAGCTGCATCTGATTTTTCCAATGCAATTATTGCCGAAGATCAAGAGGAAGCAATCACTGAACGGCAGATCGATGAAATCGACGAACAGATACGGAATTGGAACAGGTAATTTTAATAAGTGATGTTTTGATTTTTTTCGTGATATATCAATCAATTTAATGTGAATATGTTGATCTAACTGGCAAATTCGTCCGATTTTAGAGTACTTGAACTGGAGAAAAAGAAGGAGAATGTGAATTTGAAGGTGAAAGACAGCGAAAACACACAGGTGCTCAGCGAAGCGACAACAAAAATTAAGATCATCGAAACAATCGAAAAGAAAGAAAGCGACTCAAGCGATGATGAAGTCGACGATATTGATGAATATCTGGATTGGAGATCGAAAAAAGCTTATAAATAAAGTGTTCTAAACTGAAGTCATTTTTTTGGTATTTTTATTATTATTATTCGTTGAATTGAAAACGGTTAATATTTCGCTCATGCGTGATGAACTACATTGAATATGATCAATATTTTGGTTCAAAACTAGGAAAAATATTGCATTACATTCCGAGACATGTGACAGACTTCAATTGCTGCGGATTCGATTCTTTACGTAATTTCACACAAATTATATCTCTGATAATTCTAAGCGCATTTTTCACACTTACCAATGAATTTCAAAACCAATACAAAAACATTGGGGAAGAAATTACTGCAAAAGGAAATAAAAATGGAATGAAAATTGGTCAAAAACCGGCTTCAATCACATGGGAAATGGTCATGAGAATAAAACACCACTGAAATGTTTGTTCGGAATAAAAATAGCGTAGAAATATTTATTTAGGTAGATCAGATAAGATCATTCTAGATCAAGAAAAAAATTGTTTTGATTCGTGAGTTTAGAGTTGTTTTTGGTGTAACTAAAATAGTATATAATTATTGTGAGTTGTTTTTTTTTTTGTTGTTGTTTTCGTTTGGTATATTCTCATTTTTGTTGATGTTGTCTATATGGCTATATATATATATATATATATATATATATCATTTTTATTTTCATCTTGTTGTTGTTTTTGTAAAAACCATGACATGTTTCTTGTTTGCTGGTGATTATTCTAAATAGTTTCGATTTAAATACTATTTTTTGCTTTCTAATTCAGTAACAAAAAATGCATTATTCACTGGAGTTTAGCTGCAGATATTCTTATCGGCTAAGAGTTATTTGTAAGGAAAATGGTTTTTATTTAATATGTTTTGTTGTTTCTATTTTTATGTTCAGTTGTTCAGTATGCAGTAGAATTATGCAACGCTTGTGGAGTGGCCGTTTTGAAATTCTTCCCAGATTCTTTCAAAACGGTTTGTTTGGTGGCTGCTGCGGCGATATTCATTTTATGTATATTATTCATATTTATTCGTTAATTAGATCACTACAAGGAGTTTCTTGTGCATGGATTTTTTTTTATTCAAGTGACTAGTAAACTACTTTATGATCAACGTCATTCAGTTGGATTTAGACTTTTGGGTTCTCTTCTTTGTCGCCTTAAATAGTATAGTTGAATGAAAAAAAGAACAATCTCATTATACAAGGAAAAAAAAACAAAATAGCAGTACTCAACGGAAGAATGTTTCATCAATAAATTTTCCCCCATTTAAATCGAAAACATTCTTCGTTATGCTCAATAAAGTTGGGTAATTGTATGTAGGTTGTTCGCACAACAATTGCGCGCCACCAATAAATTCTGGATTCGAATATAAAATGGAACGTTGTGTTCAACAACAAAAACAAGTGTTCTACATAAGCAGAAATCGAACGAAAAGAAAAAACGAATTGGATTTGGAGCCAATGTCTTGAGACAACTTTCTTTATTGCTCTCTATTTGTTGTTTATTTTGCTATTGGCAAAAAGTATAAATCACCCACACCCAATTACACATTCCATGCCCGATTTATCTGTATGCATTTCATTGTGTAGCGAATGTGGATGAACGTTTTATAAAGAGCATAGAGAATAAATAGTTTTGAGAAACAACCGTTTGCATGTTTTTTCCACTTCTCCAATTTTTTGGGATTGGTAATATATGACATATATAGGTTTAAAGTCAGTGTGTTGAAAATGAGATCTACTATCAAATTTGAATGAAATATTAAAATATGATTTTAAAAAAATCTTCATTCTAAGCTTTACAAACACTCCATTTGGATTTGGTTTTGGTTCATAGTTTAGTTGCGGCGGCTGAAACCCGAAAATCAGCATTTCCCTAAACACTACAGTTGATTAGAATGCATTATTTTTGTGTTGTCTTTTTTTTGTTTATAATGAAGCCGAATATTGGGTAGGTGCAATCTATTCGTATTGTTATTAGTTTTTGGGGTGCAACTGTCTAATAATCGATAAGTGTAAAAAATAGATTTTGTCGTTCTTTTTATTTTGTTCACCAAGCGCAATGTAATGCACATGCCAAGAAGCCGACACACCAAAGATAAAATACAATTTTCACCACAATCGGTTATTGATTTTCGTTTATAATTTATACAAAATTCCGAGCATTCGTAGAAGAATTTGTGTTTTTTTTTATTTAGTTTTTGTTGTTGTCTATCGCTTATATAGTAGAATTAAAGAATCCATTTTTTTTTGCTAGAGATATTCGTGAATTTATATATTGTCCTAAATATAATAATTTGCATGTAGAAAAGTAGTCGTAGTATTGGCAAGTCTCTTCTTGGTCAGATTCATTCAATTTGTTGTTGTATTTTTGTTTGTTTAAAGAGACATTAAAAGAAAAGAGTTAAAATTTTGTATATATAAAATTGCACCGTTTTTTTAAGTCGCACTTTTTGAGATTGAATACTTTTTAAAGTTTTTTTTTTGGTTTGTTCTTTTGTTCAGTTTTGATTTCGTTTCACGTGAAATAAGTACACAAACAAGCAACTAATGTATATGTGTAACGCATCCCAATAAAAACGGGAAAAACCGAGAATTTTTTGGTAGTAATTCACCAAACATTGTAGCTTTCGTATTTGCAAATAAGGCAAAAATTCAATGATCGAATAACACAGAGATAACTTTGTCTATTTGATTTTCTATTGTTTCGCTCTCCTTTTCCGGGCTATTCCATGATAAATCGTAGCATACTTTAACTTTGTTTTTTTTTTAAGTTCGATATGTGCCATACATTTTCTGTGTGTGTGAATTGATATTTTGAAGCTAGTTGACCGTCGTTGATCGGCCCAACACTATTTGAAAGTGTCCTTGGATCGCGATAAGAAACGTTCGAAAAACTTTTTTTCGGGCAACGGATATCATACTGAAACATTAATTTGCCATCTTCCACGATCTGGTTCATTTTGGCGAATGAAAATTTTTATATGTGCACAAAGACTTTATGACAAAGTGAATGGCTTTCATATGTTGATGATGTCATTTTAATTTTCTAATGAAAATTGACGGACTCAATCTGTTGCCGTGTCCAAGTCGTTTCCATTCTACGAATCCATTCATTTTAAGAATCTATTATCAAACAATCGTCTCTGCATCGAGCAATTCTATTATTCTGAGTTACAGTTAGTTTGGTTGCGTTTTTTTTATGTGGAAATTGGTTCGATTTCCGTTGCGAATATCAGGCGGAAGCTGACCACTTGGTGATGCATAGTGTGTAAGTGTGCCAGAGAGATTCGTTACTTCATTTGGTTGTGATTGTCGCAGTTGCACGAAAACGGCGCAGTAAAAAATAGATTGAAATGGCACAACTCCGGTGATAAAAAAGAAAGAATGAGAACAGATTCAAATGTCTTAGAAAAGATGTCGTTAATGGAAACTATGTTTAATGCATCCCTCATTCAAAGAGGGCGATTCATAATGTAATACAAAAAAGGAACCGATCGGATGAACCATCGGAAATAGTCTAATCTAACTTAGTGCAAAAAGCAACAATTATAACAAAAAAAATCCAAATCAAGAATAAAAGGAAACAACATTGCCGTATAGTACGCAGATATCACTTGGAAATAGAGTAACATTGACCCAACTAAAAGAATATGTGTGGTGAACAAATTGTTTGGAACAACAAATGTTCGAATAAAACCAAAAATTTGGCGCAAACTTTTTCCGCCATATACATTTCATTGTAGTTGTTGCTTTTTGATTAAGTCGCCTAAATATGTTCAATAAATCGAAGGGAAAAAAAATCAAATGTCTAAATCAGATTTCTAAATTGTGTCAATATTAATTTGGCGGAATCTGGTCATATCAACAAACAAGCGAAAAACGATCATCCACATACCGCTGCGTATTTGCATCGTACCGGATATAATATATGATTAACCTAAGCAACTCTAATGAATAATCGACAATAGTCGTCTACTGATTTTTTTCTTCTTCTTCTAGATGTTCCATTTGATTTTTGTAAAATAATTAAGTATCACGATAGTCTCGCTGCATATGTTAAAATACACAAAAATAACCAAAATTATAAGCAACATCTAAATGGTTTTTTTTCCTCTCTTTCCTATTTGATTTGGTTGAGCATTTTGTAAAATTGACGACGCCTTTCATGTGAACTAATTCGAAACTAAGAGGAAATGTTTATGAAGAAATTTGTGAGGGAGAGAAGGTAAAATGCACATTTCTCTGTGTGTTTTCTTCTTTAAATGTGTCGTTCGAAAAGCAATAGTCCGGAAATCAACGTTGATTGACGAAGCTATGAATAGAAAATATGGGTGAGAAAAACGAATTCTTAATCATAAAGGTAATAAATCGAAAATAAATTGCAACACCTAAAAAAGTCTAGACAGTCGAATTAAAAAAGTTCGAATAAAGTTCAGGGGGGACAGTCAAAAAATTAATATAAAGGAATATCATCATGTCTCGTTCATTTTGTTTATACTTAATTCTAAAAAAAATGTATTAGCTAAAAAAGCGTTTCGGTATGCGTTTTGATTTTACATCTAAAAAGGTGAAAATAATTTTATAACTAGATTAATATGATCCCAGCTCATTTGTGAAGAAAATTGATCAGCTTGTACGTGTGACGATTTTTTCTTGTCATCTTTCTGTTGTGGAAATAAAATCCCACAATATCACTCCAAATTTCCGTGTTAGATCAGACGTACGTGTGTTTGTGTATGTTTTTTTTTCAGCTGAGAATTATGCATATGCAGCAGACATAAAACTGAAGGCATTTTAGAATACGCTTGTTATCGCCACACTCGACATTTTGAACCCGCAATGTAGGATTTTTTTTTCGAAAAAAGAATACTCTGGCGTTCTGAAATACGCGCGTACACTTCACTTTTCCCATTGCCAATTTATCAATCGATAAGCAATTTTCGATTAATTACTTTTTCGGTCTGTATCACGCTCGCTTGCTCGACTACGAATCGCACTGAAATTGGAACAATTCATCTACAGCTGACCGCATTTGATTAATAATTTCTAACGAACTCTAGTAGTCACTTTATCGATTTGCATTTTTCAACTATTTTTTTTTTCTTTGTTTAGTTTTTTTTTGATGTTCTTTAAATCTACGAAAAAAAAATTCCACTATTTTCTATATATATATATGTGTTGAATATTTTTTTTTGTTTGGCTGTATTTGAAATCTTGCTTGCACTAATGATTGTTCAATTTTTTTTTTGAATTAGCCGTTTAACTAATATTGCTCTTTAAAGCTTCCAAACGTTGCCGCCTTAAACGGTAATCTAGCTGCGTATATGTCACGATTTTAAATGCATTTTTTTTTTGCTATTCGGTTTGTTTTGTTCATACAATCCTATTAAATACGTATATTTATTTACTTGTTTCTCTCTTCTTCTGTGTCGTTAATTTATTTCTTTTCATTTTCATTTTAAATTTGCACCTTTCTTCGTCTTCTTCTTCTTCTAAATAGTTCTGTTTTGAAAAGAGTTTCGATGGTCCCTATAATATTGCAAAGAATTTTCCAACATTTTTTGCGGCTTGTGTTTTTTTCGTAATTTTCTCTATATACCCAAATAGCTGCATAGATGGTAGACATAATCTGTGTGTTCATAGTTTTATATATATTTATAGGTGTTTTGAAAGAAACAATTTTAAAAAGAAAATTGCTCGAGTAAAATTTTTTTTTTTCGTTTTTTTCTTTCAACTATATTCTCCAGCGCTATACTAGGACTAATAAAGATGTATTCGGAACTATGGAATACAGAAAAAATATCGATTTTCTTCTTATTTTCTTCTTTCAATTCAAACTGACTGACGCCATTACAGACAAAACTGTGTGCCACTGTATTCGGTGAATGGTGTGTATGTGCGTGTGTTAATGTGGTGTGGCAGTTGTTGGGCCAAATTTCGAAGATTATTTCATCAGTGTCAAACTTCTACGCATTTTTTTGGGATAAAGTATTATTTCTTCTTCTTTAAATATGAGGTTTTTTTTCCTCTGTTGGTTTGGTGTCCAAACGACGTGCTTAATCATTATCACTGGATAACGGAAAGTAGATAGGTAGAGAGAGAGAGAGCATTGACTTCGTTTTTTCTTCTTTTGATTCAATGTTTAAGCACTACTGATGATCATACCATTCTTTTCATATGGAAGTATACTTGTTAAAAAAGGACAAATGGCTACTTGTCTCTCTTTGATCGGTTTTTGAGTAGATAGCACGCAATTTGGTTCCCGTGTCATTTATTTCTTTAAATTCTCCGTTCATTTAGTGTGTGTTGTTTCTGTTCAACAAATCCAGTTAATGTGGTGACAAGTCTTCTTATATGTTCACCATGCCAGTGGATGAGTGCGAACTTGAACTGATGGGCAACGTGACATTGGTCACTTTCGGATCATGATTGATATCGGCGCTGCCATTTCGATCGGTCGATGAGTTGTACGATGATTTGGTTTCTAACAATGTTGTCGGAACACGATATTTTCCATCTACATGCTGTCGGTTTGACAAGCTGTGAGCAGTGCTGCCACTTCTGTTTGATCGGGTCGACGCTGCCGATGTGTTGCTATTGTTTCGAGAGCATCGTCGTGAACCTTTGAATACATTTTTTTGAATTAGGGTTAGAGCATAATTCGGATGGTGGATAGTAATTGCAACGGAATGGTTTGGTTTGGTTTTGGTAGTGAATATCAAAAATAGATCGTAACAACTCATGTGAAAGGCTCTTCAATTCAAAATAGGAAAAAATTGTGAATTAAAACGAAAATATCAAACACAAAACCAAATTGAAACGAAAAAATAACCTCTATCAAAATGAAGCGTAACAAATTCAGTAACTTCTAATGTAAAAATTACTTTTGGATCGAATCGAGGTTCTGTTTAACAATCAAATGGATAAACACAGCCCACTGTCTCACTCTTAACCAAGATAGTCATTTGTCCAAATTTAGTCACATTGATATTGTTTTATTTTTAGCCGTTTCGTTTTCGATTTGTCTCTCTTCAAATACAAATGTCGTCGTGGTCAGTTTTCACCGTTTTATTTTCTCACATAATATTTTACTCAGGATCTCTTTCAATTGGATCATTTTTTTTGTATGTTCTGTGTAGTTTTTTGGTTTTGTTCTTTTTTTTTCAATTATTTTCTGTGTGAGTCTTTTTTGTTCATTCCTTACAGTTGAATGTGTTCATGTATCATTCGAATGCAAAAACATTCACTTTTGTTTAAAAAAAAAAAAGTATTTGAGGGGGTCATTTTTATCAATCGTTTGGTTGTAGTTTTGTCTCTTGCATGGCATCGACATTATCTATAAAAATATAAAAATGGAAAATACGCAAATAATTTTCACATCAAAATCCACATATGTTGATTAACATGTAACGCACAACTTTTTCTCATTTTTGTTTAGAAATTCAAAAAAAATTTGTGTGTGTTTATAAGAAAAAAAGACGGTTTTGTTGAGTCTGAATTGCAAAGGAAACATTCCAAAAAAATATTACTATTTTGAAGTAGCCCCATATCAACCAATCGCATTGGATGACCTGCAGTTTGAATAGTTCAAAATAATAATCGAGACCATATGGCTTCGATCACCTTCGTTTCAAAATAGTAATAGTTCCATTTGAAAGACTTTTTAGTTTAGAGAGAGAGAGAGAAAAAATGTTCACTATGTGCTTGTTATGTTGTTTGTAATTTACATGTACAACTCGATAGATAACTGACAAAATCAAAAGTTATCCGAAAGATAGAAACATTCAAATAGGAAATAATTGTTTTATGTACATTGGTGATAAGTGAATAGTGTTTGTTTTGAACTGTATATATATTTGATTCGAAATAATAAACGCTTGCTTGTTTGATACAGCTGAGTAAAAAGTTGTCATTATGATGTGTAACAAAGTAGTGTCAAAAAAGTTTTTTGTTTATTCTGTTTCAAATAGGCGAGATTTAGCAGTAGAGTAGTAGCTGAGCATAGAGATCGAAAAACCAAAATTGTGTGCAAAGACGGTAACGATCAAAATATGTTTTAAATTAAATTTGTTGCACTTGAATGGCATTGATTTATTTCAAAGTCGACATTTGGCCTTGCTATGTGTAGAACATAAATTTTCTGCTCGGTCGGCGGGTGCATTTGATTGTAAACGTAACAAAAACGGATTGATTTGAAAACTAAAAGCAGTAAGAATGAAATCCATATTCATGAAATGTTCTTCACATTGACATTTTTTTCGGCAGCAAAACAATTTTGGCAAAAAGCTCATCAGAGTTTAAGCAAATGTGGCAACAAATAAAAATACACAATAACGCAGTTGTAGAGATGAAAACATATTTTGTTTGTTGTAAATTTTGTCATTCAAAACAGAAAAAATGTATAAGAAAAGTGATAGCAACGGTTAGGTGCAGGAATTTAAACGAAAATTGAATGGTTCAGTGTTCTAATTATGGAGGAGGTGATGGTAGTAGTGGTTAAAAGCGATTGAGTGATTTGCAGCTACATAAATACCTTGCCTACCTATCGATGGATTGGGCGAATGCGGACGCAACGATACCATGCTCGGTTGACGAGATGGCATCCTCATTGACATACGCGAACCACGACGCTCCTGACTATGCATTAGCTTATTATCTCGAAGCAGAGATACGTTCATCAGGCGCGGATTTGGCGTATTGAAAATAGTTCGATTTTCACGCCATCGAGCACTGTTGAAGGGAGAAAAAAAAGGGGAGAGAAATAAGTATACAAAACGGGCATATCAATGTTTAAGTTCATTTTCAACATGCTTTGTTTCCGCTAATCGAAAACAAAAACGTCAACAGTTCCATTTAGTAGAAGAACATGGAGAAGAGGGAGAGAGAACACAAACAAAATGAATCGAATTTACTAACCGACTGAATAGACGTAAAACGACGCAAATAATGACAAACATTAGCGCCATTCCAGCAAGTATCCCAATCATGGCTGGATCAACGTATCTCTCCGGTTCTCGCGACTCTCGCGTGACTGTGTGCATGTTTTCAATTGTAAAAGGAAATGATTTTAGCATTTTTCTACATAATATTTTACACCGCAGCCCGAACATTGCCTATGTTCATGTCGTCGGTCGCCCTTAACCCATTAACTACCTCTGATCGATTTTTCAATCAGTGAATTTTGCTATGTGGCTCATGCTTCGAACTCCGTTTCCAGATAGGGAATCCGGTTAGACTTTTTCTTTAATTGTAGTTTGATAAGAGTATTGCCCAATGAAATTAATACAAAATAAATGGAAAAAATTCAACTTGTCTGGGAACGGAAACCTACTTTTGGACTCTTTTTTATCAAAAAAAAAAAGAAAAGAAAAATATTTTATGCCAATGATAAATAAGAAAAAATAAATAAATAAAATGAAAAGTCCATTTTTTATAAAACAATAAAAAAAATTGTGTTTATTTCAATTTTTGTTTATGATACAGATGCTTAGAGATGTGTGGTCGAACCTTATCCTTTATTTCTTATGACGCTGGAGCCACAACTCATTGCGATACAAACTCATTGCGTAAACTACACACTCATAACCAAAAAAAGCGGCACAAATAAAGAAGAAGAAGAGGGAGAAATACATGATATGGACTGTAGTTCACTTTGTTGGAGTTAGAATGACCGGATTCCCTCAATACTGCGAATTGAAAGTAATAAAATGTGAAAGTTTCGTGCATTTTAAAATAAGAACCCTGGTAGTTGATGGGTTAAGCTGCCGGAAGAAGTAAGTGTTTTATATTCATACCTTTGCATTCAATGGTTCCGTCTTTGTTTGGAATTGGTGACATTTCGAAACGGCAAATGCATCTTCCATCACGGCATTCCGTTAGGAAATTGAACGCCTCGCATTGCTCATTGAAAAAGCAGCTTTCATTAATTGACGCCTCTGTAAAATGCGATACAAAAGAGAAAAGGAACAGCGTTTCAGAATTCATTCAGTTTGGAAAAGAGAGCATGCACGAAACGGCGCGCGTTGGCTTCTTAAATCACACATATACACAGTAAAAAAAAATGAAAGAAATGAAAGGGCTTTGTTGGGCATGCGAACGAGCAACTAAGCTTTCATTGAAATTTGTGTTGAAGTTTATACATCATCTCTCGTTCTCTGTGCTCTTTTTCTCTCAGCACAGCATACCATCGCATAAAGGAAATTATAGCGAAAACGAAGTAAAAAAAATGGAAATGAACAAGTGGCTAGCAGCCAAGTTATGAGCTAAAGTGTCTGATTTTCCCGATTTCCGTTGAACGTAACGCGCCGCACCGCGCTCGCTTGCTCGTTCGTTCGCCTACTACTCCTCTGCTCATACGCATTACATTCGAATTGTACAGCATTTTGATATAATCGTTCCATGGGAGGAAAATAACAAGAAACTCATTGGGGTTTCAATAAGCCGACATGAAGTCGCCAATTTAAATATATTGTTATCCTTAAATGTTTTGTGTGTTAGTTCAGACGTTGTTTTTACGTCACAATGTTTGCCCCCTTTTTTTCCCTATATAGTTGGAATGGCACGCACATAGTTCATACACCTGAAGCAGGGAAAAAATAAATAAATTCTGCTGCACTGTTTCAGCCCAGCCATTGTAAACCATACACACACTCACACATAGTGTATTTATCGATCAAATTAACCGCAAAATATTCTTTCATTTTATTTTCCTGTGTGTGATAATTACTTTCCGCTTCTTTTTTTTTCTTAAAATGATGAAAAACGCTTTTGAATAAATCATTTGTACTTAATTGTTAATGGTTTTTCTGGTTTTAATTTTTTCATCGAAGCGAATTTCAATGCAAAACTGCCATTGTTTTTGGAAGCCACACACCGAGAGAGAAAAAAGTATGCGTGGCCAATGTCTCTGTGGTTGTGTGTGGCTGGTTCACGGTTCAAAGTTCGGTGTTAGATTCGTTACTTCCACGCAAACGTAAAATTTGCAGATAAGAACCGTAAAACCATTGCCTGACATTCTAACGGGCAAAAGCAATGTGGTGATTGGGTTTTTTTTCAAACTTTTTCTCTCTTTAGTTTCCGAAAATAAATAACGATTTTCGTATTATTGTGATTCAGAAATGCTATTTTTTTGTTCAAAGACGAGAAAAAAAACACAAACACACAACGGCGAAAACAAAAACCATGGAACCATGGTTTTATGTTTTTGTTGAATCTTACAATTCACTATCATGAATTTGAATGCATAGATGGCATGGAGAGTGTGGGTGAAATAGAGAGAGGTAGAAAAGGAGAAAGACGGAGAGGGAATATAAAGGAACTCTGTGCGCTTATCACATTCCCAAAGCTCAAACAATATAAATTGATTCTAAGAAAGGCTATAAAAATTTGGGTTCATTCTGTTGAAAGGGAGAAATTTCATTCTCGCATGATTTGCGTTATTGTTAAGCAAATTTCCCCCCAATTTTTCGGCTAAACAAATGGTTATGACAGGTTAAAGCCATTCGATTGTAATTGCTCGAACACTTTTAAGCTTCGATTATATGGATGGCTTCAAACCAAAGGATATGAACCAACTTAGAACGTTGGGGTCGTGTGGCTGTTGCCACTATCGTGTGTGTGTATGTATATTTTTCGGATATTGCTGTGATTTGGTCGAAGCGCTGTTTCCGGTTCAAGGCAACTATTGTTTGTTTAAACAGTATAATGTTGAATATATACATATTGACGATGGCAAGCAGAAAAAAAACAACAACAAAATCAAACGACAAACACTGTCAAAACATAATTATGACATTACTTACCCTTTCCACATTTATCAATATGATTAGTAACGGGAAGTGCCTCAACACATTGACACGACCTCTTTTTCGAATCGCAAATTGAGCCCGGAAAGCCACATTCTTGTGTTGTTTCGCATTTGTCGCCGAACTTTTTGATCCCTCGGTTTCCATAATCTGGTATAGACACAGATACAGACAGCGACGGAGAGAAAAAAAGAGGGAAAAAAACAGAAAAAAAAAATAGATTAATGTGCCCCATTAATTAACATGGCAGTTGTAATCCAAACATGACATTTTTTTTTATTAAGTTTTCCAAGAGCACAAACAAACACACAGCTTTAGCAATTGAATTGAAAATGAAAAAAAAGTATTCGAGACTAATTAAATCATTTTGAATGAAGCGATTCAACAAGTTAATTACCGATGTTTTCTGCATGAAAAAAAGTGGAATTTCATGTCGCCCGCTGCGGCCGCAGCTGTGTGTGTGTGTGTGTTTATGTGTCTGTTGCATCTGTGCAACGTGAAAATGAAGTGCAACCATCATAAAATTGCATGACTCACCAAATTCAGTTGTTGTCGGTACATCAGTGTTGAGATTCACTCCATTTTTGCCACCACTTTCTGACACACTATTTGCAGCAACAAATGGAATGGCATTTACGAAGCACAAATAAAATACCGATATACAGAATATATGGAGCATCGTTGTAAATGCATTTGCTGACAATAATGACTGTTGATTTTGTGGTTGTTCTGGTTGTTTTTGTCGTTGCACTCGATGTTGGCTCTTCCGATGAAGCCGTGATCGAGCTGAAGTGGATGCACTCATTTCCATTATGCGACCGTAGTTAAATTGTTTAGCACAATGTTGCATTGTGAATCGGGCTTCTCGACGCACCGCAGAAGCCCTGACTGGTTTCATGTTGACGCAACTTCGAGTATATCCAACATGTTGGATCGACTCTTCAGAATTCGCCAATCTGAAAAATATATATGCGTCATGAAGAGAGCGAACGAGCGAGAGGGAGAGAGAGAGAGAGACAGCGAAAAAAAAGATAAAAATATACCAAACAACCGCTCAGTCTCACTTGCCATTCATGCAAAAATGTGTAATAATAAAAATATATCATCATAAATATTTAACTAAACGTCATTCAAGCACATAATTCGCTGCATTAAATTATCAAGTAATATTCAGAGCGTTAACCATAATGATCTGAGAGCAGAAAACGACCGATAAAATGACTTCATATCATATTTTTAGCCGAGCTGTGCGGTTGAATATTCTAATGCGCCAGCAGACGCAATAGGAAAAAAGCGATTGCAATTTCTGTTGAACGAGGGAGTGAGAGAGATTGAACGAGGGAAAATCGGATATGGTTCAAATGAAACTGGTTTTTTTTCTCGGTGGGACGGTGGGTGGTTGGTTGGTAAATTGAAAAGATTGACGTGCACGGCTTTACGTTATCTTTTCTAAACGCGTTACGAGTGGATAAATAGTTCGAGCAGCTTTATGGCTTTTTTGGGGGTTCTTCTTCTTCTTCTTATTGCTGCTAATGCTGTGCCATTTTCGCCCAGTTACAAATATAGTCAAATCGAAATGAATTCAATGCCAGAGAAGTGGTTCTTCCGATGCAATAAAATATTCATCACGTTAAATGAATTGAACAGCATACGAAGCCCCGAAATTGATTGAAAATCAATGAATTATCAGCCGAAAGGAACGGGGCGAGAGAAAGAGAGTGAGAAGTGCGCGAGCCAGCGAGCGAGCGAATAAAAATACAAATGGGGAGCAATGGCATGCACATTTGTACGCATCAAATATAGTCATAATGTTCCCAATTTGGTAATAAACGAAAACGAGGCCACACCGAGAGCAAAACCAAATTTCATCATATCGCACCTAATTTCAAATCCGTTAATTCATCAATTTCAATCAATAGCAAAACATCAGTCTCTCACTTTGATATTATACACACACACACACACACTCACACATGGTGTCCGCACATGAATGCAAATTATATCAACACTGTTCTAATTTGGTATATTGTGACATCGTGGTTGTTATTTTTAATTTCTCACACAATTGCAGCGAACATTTTCCATTTAATCCGTTAAAAGTTCTTGTTCATTGTTTCGATGACCTTTGTTCGCATTAATTTGCATAAATTTCGTGTTGAAGTCACCGCACTGCACTGCACATAATATGCACACTAATTTTAATTGCTCATGATTTCTGACGTTTTCTCAGATTTCTCGCATCGTTTAACAGGCTGTGTGAATCGAACTGGTTAATTTGAAATCCCTTGGCTGAGAATTGAAACGAATCGAATATGAAGGCACCGAAAACCAAAATGAGGATGCATACACTGTGGAACAACAACAAACAAGCACACACACCTATGAAAAGGATATAAATCTAGTGTCAGCACCAATTTTCTTGTCTATTTCTTCTCTTCTCTTCGCTGCTTTTTCACAAAAGTTCCTATGCATGTAAACCACTTCCGCGGAGCAAAGCCACTTTTCTTACAGCAAACGAATCAAAAGAATCAATAGAAACACAAAGGGAATGAACGAATTTTCATTTATATCTGAAACTGTGTGAAAGAACGAACGAACGAAATAAACGTATGGAGAAAAAAAGTTCTCGCAAATACTCTCTCAAACCGAGCAGCAGCAGCACCACCAAATGAATAGAGGACTAATTACGAGAGAGAGAGAGTAAAGGCACAAACTGAGATGAGAGGAAATGTAGGAAAACAACCACGTGTGATATATTTGATTTGCATTTGTATGTCCGCAATGTAGAGGATATGTGTGGTGAAACTAGTCATTTTGAAAATATTTGTACACAATGTGTTATTTTGTAGCACCGCAACAAACCCGATCCGATATTATTCCGTGTATTGTTGTTATGTTGTATGCGGTGGATAGAGAGAGAGAGAGAGAGAGAGCAGCGAGAGCGACTTTTTTCCGAATTTACAAAAAGCCAAAAGAAAAATGGAAAAGGAAAGAAGAAATAGAGAAAAAAGGCGAACACACACGGCTTTGTGTATGTATGGCTCAAAAGCAATTCAAGAAAACATCTCTCTGCGCTTTTTTCCCTTCCTTTGTTTCTGCTTATGCTCGCTGTAGTCGCCGTTTAATTTCATTTGATCAATTTTTTTTTCTTTTGATATATTACTGAATTTGTGCTAATTATACCCGTAACGCACATAGAACTTTTAACTGGTTTCTAATTTTCTTCTTCTCAAAATTGGTGTATTCACACTTACGCGTCGTTGCCGAAAAAATCACACAAAAATGAAGAAAAAAAAAAACGAAACCGAACCAAAAACTATTCGAATGTATCACACAATTTTTTGTTTGTTCCTATAAAATTTTCCGTTCGTTTTAGTCTTAAAGGGTACGGCGAATGTAGATAATTACGCCAAAAATAACCAAATATTTCGAAAAGCACACCAAAATACCAAAATCAAAAGCACACACTAACGTGATGGAGCGTCACACGTCGCAATTTATAATAAAGCAATGGCAAAATAAATGACTGCTTATGTCACTGTGCATGAGCACAAACCGAGCAATTCCATTTGAAATGTCGGAATGAACAGGATTCATGTCCTGATTATCCACATGGAGGGGCTGCCGCCACCACATTTGACATGGAATAGTCTGATAGTTCGTTTTTTTCTTTCATATTGGTGCTATACACACAACATACCAACACGGCAATAGGCAGTAAACAACACGATTCGATAGAGAGAGAAGAACAGAGAAGAATGGATGAAAGAAAGGGATAAAACACGAAATACTGCAGAGAAAATTCTCCATGTATGGCTTTGGAGAATGATTATTTATTTAGCAAACGCATGCGTTTCACCATCCATCGTGTGTGTGCACGAAATCCGTTCATATACGTAAATCAACACACAAGTATAGATTGTACCCTGGCACACACAACCGACACTCCGTTCAAACGGATTGAATTTGAGTTATTTTCGTTTCTATCCCGATACTTTGGCTTTGGAATTTTTGGACAACATTTCTCTCGCTCCCTCTCTCCCTCACTCTCGGTTGGAATAAACTTTTTGGCAACGTGTGTGGCATGCAAAGTTTTAACCACAACGAAAACCAAAGTAGCAGCTTTTGATATGGTTGCAAACAATTTCATTGAAATGAGAAATTTCTCACCGATGCTGCTACAAAGTTATCGACAGCGCGTTTGAATACTATGTGTCACGTGGTTTACAAATTTCAAATTGTAGCGGTTAAAAACCTCAACGACTTTTTTTCCACACCACATTCGACTTTGTAGCGGGAACGAAAATGAGTTATCAAGCCATTTTCATCATTTCCTCACACATCATCGCTGTGCCGCTGCAGATTCAAAGCATAAATTTGATGCAACATCGCCATCCAAACTATTGAATGAAATTGAACACAAAGCTACACACATTACAGAGATCAATATTACATCAAAATGATGCGAACAATTAAAAAGCGATTTATTTATGGTGTGATGCAGTGAGTAGCGCGCGCTCTCAGCACACCACGAATGTGTGCCAAAACTTTCTTCAAACGAAGTACAAGCGAGTTCGTTTTTGCAGTGTAACCGGAGAGAGAGAGAGATAGAGGAAGAATTTGAGAAAGGGTTCAGCGATCCTACCAAAGGTGAGGCAATCCCTACCATTCGATCGCTGCGTATTTGTCGTCTTATTTATAGTTCATTACATTTTCACAGATCATTTTAGTTGCGTTCATTGTATGATCTCTAGTTGAACGACCAACAAGTTTCCATTTGCATTTGGCTTGTTTAGTGTTCGTTGTTTTGTGCCACAATTTTCTCATTTTTCTGAGTGTTTTTCGGCAACAATGTTTCGTCAAATAAATCAGGCCATTTTGTTGTGTGCTGTTTTTGTTGTCGTCAATTGTTTCCCTGATGGCGGTCCAGCGGATACATGTACGATTGATTTTTTTTTTGCATTCAACAACAAACTAAATTCAATTAAAATGTAAATCAAATTATTTTTCAAATGAAAAGGTGTCAAGCCTGGACGATTCAATCAGCCAAATCATGGACAAGCCAGAACTCAGCCAATTGGCACTTTGCCGTACGAGGTGGTAGCCACCACTGATCAATATCAACCAGGACAACAAATTCAAAGTAAGTCATTTCCAATCGTATTTCGATTACTTTTCAACATTTCTCCACATTGTTGGAAATTCCAAGACTGAAGCAATACTGACTATCCCAATAAATCTGCCATCTCAATGTTTTTTCTGCAGTCACCGTTCGTGGTCCCGAATATTTCCGCGGATTCTTCATACAAGCGCGAGATGCCGAAACTAACGAATGGATTGGCACATGGCAAGACAGCCAAAATACAAAAACAATTCCAGAATGTGCATCAATCACCCATGCAGACAATCGTGATAAGGAAGGCGCAAATCTTATTTGGAATGCACCACAGCATAAGAGTGGTCGAGTTTATTTCACGTGAGTACTTTAGTATTATATCTCGGATCTTTGAATCATGGCAAGTTAATGGCAAATAAATTAAACAATTTTGCGATTTTTATCATATAAATGCTTAATTATACTATAAATGGAGAGTACATGTTAGCCAAGAGTGGCTCACCACCACAAACACACACACACACACACACACACTTGGTGTGTATAGACGAACTGTTTGTACAAAAATGTCGATCGCAATTTGCAACGAGTCGATTTCAGTGTCTATTTTTCATAGATGTGTTTCCAACGATTTTTTGTTGTTTGAAGACTGTTTTTCTCTTTCTTTTTTTTCCTCCGTATATTCATTTGCACCAATGTCCATTGCAAATCCAAACGGATTTCTTAATTCAATCAATTGAATAGCATGGCGCGTATATAGCTCGCAATTTTGTCTATCTGTATTCAATTATGTAACACATGTGTTTTGTGCGTTTTTTTTCTCTCTTCGCTTCTTTCTTTATCTTGTCGTCACTTCATCTCTCGAATTTTTCGTAACCGAAGAAGTTGAACCAACCGAGCTAGAGCAAACTACAGCACTATTGGCCAATGCACAAACGTATTATACGGTAATTAATGGAGATTTCGCACAGAGCAACGGGATTCTGGTCAAAGATTCAAATGTTCAGATTGTTGGCAAAATAGTCAAGTCATCGAAAAGTCTGTGTTGTTCGAAAAAAAAAGTGAATTCAAATGCTCCATGCTCATATATGTCTCGAAACTTTAACTCCAAAGCAAAAACCATGGAGCGCGCGTCTCTTTGCAACAAGAGAGGGAGAGAGAGAGGAGAAAAAAAACATACACACACTTTACATTGTTCACATTACAACGGCCAATTTTCGATGTTATTACGAGTGACGATTTTCAAAGGCAATGAAATACATTTGGCCCGATTTGTAACTCAATTCGAATTTTTTTCCATCGTTTTCTGTCGTCATCGCCATCGTTTGTTGCTATTGCTGTGGCTGTTGTTGTTGCTGCTGCTGCTAATTTCGTGTGTTATTCATAAGTTCGAGTGATTTTGTTGATGTTTCTTTTTTTAAAAGTTGCCCGTTTCACTTCAATGATATTTTAGATGACTCGGCAATTTGAAAAACAGTTATGTGAATGTTGATTATATCGAATTGCCTTGAAACATCTTCGACTTCGCCAAAAGTTTCGAACGTTTGTCGAGGTTTTTTTTCCTATGCGCCCGTCTAATGCACTGTGATGTGATTATTTTTCTTTGAAAAAAAAAAAATAAATACTTTGAAAACAAGCAGGTTTTTTTTCAATTGTACATGCAAGCCGAGAAAAAAAAACCTTTTTGGAGTTGTTGTTTTCGTTGTTTCGATTTCAAAGTTCCACATTGAAATGTCGAATGGAATTTAACATGAACATTTGGGTTTTCTTTCAATGGAACTGAATATTTGTATAGCCAGATTCATAAAAGCACTTGTCTCATTTCGTTGTGTCATTCTTTCTTTTTCAGTGGATCCATCGTTAAAAATTACTCCACCTTTTGGTCAGATGTCGTCGCCAAAATCCCCTTTTATCAGAGATGAACACACTTTAATTTTATGAAGGAACAAACAAACCGATCATTTCTTTTGACATAATTCAATGGAATTTTTGAATTGTCCAGGCACCGAAAAAAAAACAAAATTGTCGAAGAAAAGCGAAAATTACAAATAAATCGATAAAAAATTAATTTAACCGAATGTTTTGACATTTTGTTTCTCTTTGTGACTGAAACGTGTTTTTATTGAAGATCTGGTTTGATTTTTGACCGAGATGCGGACTGTGACTTCCACAGGGTATTTTATTAGATTTAAAAGATGCAACCAATGTTTGAATCAAATATTTCGATTCTTACCTCATGTCAAGATCTCAACTAATTTTTATTGATGCTGAAGGGAGTTGCGATCGTAATATTTATGGAATATGTTTTGTTCTGAGTCTAGCTTAACAACAACTGGGTAATGATTTGAAATTACTGAGCCTTTATATATAAATATATGATGAAGTTTCCTGCTATATTTTTTATTATCCCAAGTGGATAGAGTGAGAACTGGAATTCTAAATTTAGAAGTTGATCAATCTAAACGAGATTCGTCGAAGTCTTGACTATTGAGTGCAGGAACATTATATAGATTATTAAATAAATTATTACTTGGTGGTTCTAGAAGAATTCAGCTAATTGAAATTTACATTCTATTTTTATATTCAATTGAATAAATTTTATTTTCGAATATTATTTCTACTCAGAATCAAAGATAATAACATAAGTTCCGTCTTCTCAATGGAAAATGTACAAAGCGAAGATTGTTCCTAGTATTTATGACAATTCCCGAAAGTATTTTGATAGCCTATTATTAATCGAGACGTAGGTTGTAGGATATCCGTACGTTCAGTATGTTTTTTAAGAAACATTAATATTTAGGCTTAATATTTGAGATTTGAAAATTTATAAGAGTGAATGAACCAGATGTTGCACTACACAATACAATAGACACTTTGAATGCAATCGAATTGAATGTCGCATATAGCATCAACTCAAAATTTGATATAGGTATAGAAATCGAAGCAAAAAAACATGGAAATATATGACGTGCTTGAAGAAAAAAAAATCGTGCTACCTCACGAACATGTTATCTAGAAACGACAGGCCGGAAAAAAACAAATCATAATAGATCATGGCAACGACAGCATACAGCACATTTTTCCAAGACCTCATGTCGTTGATAAATGAATATTTATAATATTAATCGTTCGTCCAACGTTTGATAAAGTGCTCTAAATTGTCTGTTCGAAATAGCCACCAGCAAATAAACTTGTTGATTATTATTGCATTTGTCGGTGTAAAAAACGACATTACGTAATCGAATCGTCGAAAATGAAATTCACACTGCCTAGAATGGTTTGCGTGGATTTGTGACTGTGTTATCAGTCATTTTATACTCAATAAAATGAAAATATCAATGTAAAAACGGTTATCACAAACGAGAAGAAAAAAAATCATGGATAGAAACAGAATGATATTTCAAAATGCATAGCATGGACATTGTACACATGCAGCGAATACATTTTTAAGCTAATCAATGGCAAAAATATGTATGAAATGAGTTGATAAAGAACACAGCACTTGTCAACCGATTGCCTCTTTAATTGAGCTCATCAAAATGCGTTCGAGGTATTATACCTTATTGAAAACTTAGTTCCAACTACGCGTTATCGGTGGGAAGAGTAGAACTTCAATTACAAATAAGTAAACAACAACACTTGATCGCTACATTTTTTCCACTCAGTTTTTTAATCAAGCGTTGGACAACGTTGGAAACAATTTTCATTCAAAAAAAACACCCCAAACAACCAATTCATATATAAAATATGAAAAATTCATTTTATGACGCGTTTACAAAATTAAAAGCAAAGACACACATGAGCGGGAGCGAGTGAGAATGTGTCCAAATTGGCTTTATTATTCGTTCTGTGCGTAAACCGTCGAGTCATACGACAAAATATTCATCACAAAAACAAGTCCAAATAAACGAGCGAATCGAATTGAAAAACACGACACACAACAACGACAGAGGAGCAGCAGCAGCGGTAGTGAGGCAACAGCAGCCGCATCAGATTACCAACATCAAGATAATAAAAGAATGCATGTGATAACACAAAAACGGCAAAAAGAATTATTAAGCCAGAGAGAGAAACAAACAGAGTGCGAGCAACGAATAAATCGCAACGCCCAACGCACGTCAAACGTACACAGAACAACGAAAAAACATTCAAGACAGAGAACGAGTGCTGCGGTTGAATAGATGAACAGAAAAGAAAGACTAAGGCGAAAGAGACAAAGTGAATATATTCCATTGAAAGCAGCATTCAATATATCAGTTCATTGAGTTCAAGTAACCAAACCAGAACGAAGAAACGTAAGTGATAACTTTTGTTCAACGCATTATCATCGTTCAGAACTTGAAACATTTTACTTCTTTCTTTTTCTCACAAAAAAACAACAGCAGCGGTGACTTGCAAAAGAAATTTTTGTATTTGAAACGAAATTTTTGCCACAAACAACGTAAAAATGGTTATTAACTTTGGTGCTGGACCGGCTAAATTGCCAAAAGAAGTTTTTGTTGAGGTGCAACAAGAATTGCTCAACTATGCAAATACCGGTTTGAGTATTATGGAGATATCGCATCGAGCAAAGGACTATATCACTTTGCATGATGCAACCATGCAATCAGTTCGGGATATTTTGTAAGACTTCTCTTTCTTTTGATCAATCATTTTTTGACACGCGACAAATTGCCACTTTGAACAATTTTTTTTTCTCATTTCTTCTTTCTTAATTCAATATTAAAATATATTTGTGTAGAAATTTGCCAGACAATTACAAAGTCATATTGTTGCAAGGCGGTGCAACAGGTCAATTTGCTGGCGTTCCCCTGAATTTGATTGGTCGTACCGGCACTGCCGATTATATTGTTACAGGTGAGTAAATAAATATGACAGTTGGAGGTGATTGTGAAAGCCTGCACACGAAATCGAGCTGTGATTATGAAAACTGTTCAAATTGACAGGTGGCTGGTCGTCAAAGGCAGCAAAAGAAGCAGCCAAATACGGTAAAGTTAATTTGGTGTTGCCAAAAGTCAGCAAACACACAACCATTCCCGATCAATCCACGTGGAACTTAGATCCGAATGCATCGTACGTATACTACTGCGACAATGAAACTGCTGACGGTAATTTTTTTTTTGTCTTATTTTTTCTTTGCACATCTTTTTTGATTGCAACAAAATGTGTTTTTTCTCGATTGCAGGCGTCGAATTCCCATTCATTCCAGAAACAAATGGCGTGCCATTGGTTGTTGATATGTCATCAAACATCTTCTCAAGAACATTCGATATCACTAAGGTAACAAATATTGTTGAAGAAAATCAAACCTGTCATATCCTGATGGACATTTTAATTTCATGTGTGTGACCATTTTTAGTTCGGTATTGTTTACGCCGGTGCACAAAAGAACTTCGGTCCAGCAGGCATAACACTTGTTATCGTGCGTGAAGATCTCATGAACCATGCATTGCCAATTACACCTGCAATTTTGAACTACAAAGACAACTTCGCTGCTGATTCCGAATACAATACACCACCAACATTCATGTATGTGACCAAAAAAAAAAACACTATTTTTATTCATTCTCATTTCGATCTAATTTGAATTTCAATCATTTTTACAGTATTTACGTTGTTGGCAAAGTATTAAACTGGATCAAAAAATCCGGTGGCATCAAAGCAATGGCTGACAATTCACAAAAGAAATCGCAACTGGTGTACGATCGCATCGATAATTCGGGTGGATTTTATAGTTGTCCAATTGAAAAGCCATATCGAAGCCGAATGAATGTTGTTTTCCGTATTGGAGGTGGTGATGAGGCTTTGGAAGCGGAATTCTTGAAAGGTGCCCAAGAATTGAAGATGACCCAACTGAAGGGACATCGATCAGTCGGTGGTATTCGTGCATCTCTTTACAATGCCGTCACACTCGATGACACCGAAACTCTCGTTAAGCACATGGACGCATTTTTGGCCAAGCACAAACAATAAACGAAATCCATTTGTTTTTTTTCCGGTTGAATTTATAAATTCAATTTATTTTTCTATAATATGATTGCCATTGGCCATCGAAAGCTATCAATAAAGTAAATAATCTCGATAAAAGTTTAGTTTTTTTTTAATACTAGAAAACCAGTCGATTACACCAAATTTTGATTTTTGTAGATTTCATCTAAGGCATTTTCTAATTGTTCATTGGTGCCACGTAGATTGTCGGTAACTTCTTTGGCCCACACAAAGTAATCTTCGCGACGTTCCTGGAAATAAATGCCAATTTTAATTCGATATGATAACTATCATAACCAAAAGAATAGGGCCGGATTGTGAATAAGCTTGTTTACCTGCGTCCATCCAGCTGGTGTGGTTCGTTCCAAATCGCGTAAGTTGTATAATTTATCAGCTAATTTAACTAGTTTGGCTTCATGTGAGGCACCTTTTGCATGGACGATTTGTAAACGTTTTCTTTCCTGCTTCGGTTTCAATTTGTCGTCAGTCACCTCGTCGACGATGTCACGAACGGCCTTCCCAAAGTGCTTTTCAATTTCATCGAATGTCGTCTTCGTATCTTCCACAGTGTCATGCAAAATTGCAGCCATCAACACATTCTGATCGACCACATTTGCTTCCGTGAGTAGATAAGCTACACCTGAAACATCAAACACATTTAGACTGAGAACAAAAACATTCGGAAACCGTACAAAAATAAAACCAAATACACATAAATTTGAATCGGTCTTAGTGAGTAAATATGACTGTACCAATTGGATGATTGATATATGGTGTTTTTTCCGGATCTTTGCGCCTTTGATCTCGATGTTTTCGGGCTGCAAAATCAATGCATTTTGTGTATAAAATTGGATCGAACATCTCGTAAACAGCTGAAAATTGAATATGACTCAGAGCTTAGCTGAGCATTCAACAGATGTCAAGCTAAAATGACCTCATCCTGTCAACAGTTGACAGTTAGCATTGCGCGACATCTGACAAAAAATGAGTGAAACTCATCAACACTCTCACATGCTACACAACGTATTGAGATGCAGTCAATCCGCAAAATTCATTACTCTCGGCTTTAGCGCGGCGATTAAATTGGAATGACAAAAGAGACACCCTTGTATGACCTTGACAATTTCAATAAACGGTGCAAAACTGCAAAAAAAAAACTATACAATCAACAATGTTTTCAATTGCACGCATCGTAACACATACATAGGCTAAATCAAATGCTACACACGCCTGTTGCGTTTTCATCGTGTGAACGACATTAACGAGTTGATTATTTACATACACATGCTTAATTCTGCAGGCCTTCTGTAGTACGAAGTGCGAAGAAAAAAAAAGTATGGTTGCCGCCGCATGAACTAAACTCGCGTATCGATACGATGTACTAGTGCTACACTGAAGTTCGTGTTGCTTGCCGGTGCTGGAATCTCTTTTAGAAGAAAAATAAAAGTAACCTGCTCTCAATCAGCTTTACCATAAATAAAAATTTGTTTTTTTGAATTGTTTGACGATCGACTGACAAAAACAAACCAATGTAAGTTTTTATTCATCCATTTACACTTTTTTTACATTTGAAGAACAAACCCATTAGTTGGAGCGGATTTTTTTTTTCAATTTCTTAGTTTAACACAGAATTTATTGCACAATGTCACCTCTAAATTACGTGACGATGTGTAAGTTTTTTGTCTTGTAAGTCGTAACATCTTGAATTTGCCATATTCACGGCAACAATGGAAAAATTCCACATTTTAAATTAAGAAGAAAAAAAAACGAAGGAAAAAAAATTGACGCAAAAAGTGTCTTCGATTAAATGTAATCATGCGTGTTAGTCAGACACAGGCCTCTGACATCACACAGCTAAGTTTTTGATTATTCTACGCATTACTATAATTTATGGTTTAATCGGTGATAAATCACGTGCCAATTCAATGGCATTTTCCGCTCTGATTAGATATGATTTAAGGTGATCATAATCGTTTTATCGAAGTGGGTTCCGTTTCAAGCAATTCGTGCAAGATATTGCGATCGCCTGCATATTTCAATGTGTTGAGAGAATACATCTCAAAATGCAATTCATTGTAAACACTCATAAAATTGACGGGCCCTTGAATTAAATGCAATGTTGCAATCGTGATAGAATTGGTTATCGGTAAAACGTGCCGTTTCAATCAAACCAAAAAACTCAATTCAAAATCCGTTTGATGTTTGTAACCGATGGAAATATTTTTGAAAAATTCTGCAAACGGATTCAGTTTCAATGTTATGTCACTTGGATGAAAAGCGAGAATGCGCACTACCGTGTTGCAGTTCATTTTAAAGAGAGAGAAAAAAAGAGTTGGCGATAAGCTTTCACTTTGTCGAAATCAGTGTCCAGTCCACTCATCGAACGAATAAAATCGCTTAAAAAAACCATTACGAATCAAATATAATAAATTCGATGATTGTTTACATGGATAATACGGATTGTTATGACAATGCATGTTTTCCTCATCGAATTCTATTTTTGACAGACGACGTAATGGCTGAAAAACTGCCATCGAATATACAACACTTTGATTATATACATTTCACCGACCGAAACTGAAGCAATCTAAAATTAAAAAATTTTGTTTCTCTTGCTATTATCACACGCCGCTCACAAAAGCCAATTTTATATTTTCTTCAATATTTATCACAATCGCAATGATTGGTATAAACAATTAATGGTTGTTATAATAACAACAATGTAATTCATTTTCTGGAAGAAGACTGTAGTGTCATAAAGGTATACAAATGGAAGGAAGAAACCGTTTTTGCGGTTTCAAAATAAAAGTAGCGAGAATTGTTGTAAACATACAGGCCATAAATGAAACGAACAAAAATTCATTTCTTCTTTCACCAAGACACAAAACCACAGATCCACACACACACACACACAAACACACGTACACATAACTCACACGAAATGTAATGAAAATTCTTTGTAGAAATTTTCATCTGCGTCGAATCGCCCTGCACCATCACATACAGCCCGATACACACATGCGAATCGGCAACGTTCGACGAGCATTCGTTGAATTTTCTTCGCTGTTGAAGTCAAATTACGAGTATCTTCTGCTTGTATCTACTTCCAATTCGGCTACATTGGTTAGTTCGACTTTTTCTTCCTGTTTTGATTGCACAAGAACCGTGCTATAGCCGCTTGTCAATTAACATATATTACCCATTCAAGTCAAAACAGCTACCAAAAACTGAAACCGACACCGACACCGTGATACAAATTCATTTTTCAACTGAAAGAGAGCGAAACAAATAAACTACCTCCTTCCCTCCCCAAACAACTAAGAAGTGTTAATCAATTTAACTGTGGATATTAACCAAATTTAACGCGGACACAAAATTCATTATAAAATAAAATCCAATTGGCTCGTTTAGTGCATTGAAAATTGATTTGAATTGTACGTATTTTACATATTTGATCGATTTTTGTTTTCTTCTTGGAAATAACAGTATCAAATCAGATCTAGTTAAATAACAATAGAACAAAATTTAAAAAAAAAAATGGTTTGGCCAACCGAATACGACAAAGCATCCGATGAGGTAGTGTGAAGTGACGATTTTTGTTTTAACATTAATATATATGCTTATTATTCTCGATTTGTATTTGCAACACTAGATGCCATTTGTTCACGTACACGTAAAAAAAGAAAAGAGAATTTTTGTTGCATTTGTTATACAATTCACTGATTTTTCCATCTTTGAATCGATTGGTGAATATTACATTGACATGACCTCAACAACAGCACCAGCATTGCTTTTGGCATAAGTACATAACGGCATTTATGGTGGAATACAAATGTCAAAAATAAGCACATAGAAGAGATATGACCTTTTCAAGGTCACCCGATTTCATGAGAAGAGCACGAATCAACTGACTGTTGACTTCGATTGTGTGTGATTTGAGTATTTTAATCTGAAAAGAAATGTTCCCCTTTTTTTTTGCTTTTGCATTTCCTACACGCGAAAATGAAAGACAAACACGAGAAAAGAAAAAAAAAACTTGAGAGAAACAGAGACACTCTCTCTACGTGAACAAGTATTACATAACATGATAAGAACCCATTTGTTTGTGACTTAACTTTTATTATTTAAATAAATCTATTGGTTGAATTACAAGCATGTATGACACATATATTGGCTGCAAAAACGAAAACCCGAGTGTGCACACACACATATATATATATATAAACCAATTGCCCATATTGCACATACACACCAACCTGTAATCCGGAAATCTATTTCTGTGTTTTCAATTTAGTTCTCTCTTTCTGTGTGTTTATTTGTAGCACCATTTGTGTGAAGTGTGTTTCTTTCTATCTACTTCTTCTATTCGATTATCACTAACAATTTGATGTAACAATGCAATTGTGACGTATTCCACAGATGAGCAACGCAAGCCAACAAAATGATGAGGGTACCCATCTCCAACATTTGTGCAACTTGGACATTGACTCCAAGGTGTCATTCGTCCGATTGTCAGGTATCATCTGTACCATTGGACCGGCATCCAAGAGCCCAGAAGTGCTTGAGACTCTCATCGGCGCTGGCATGAACATTGCCCGTTTGAACTTCTCACACGGTTCATACGAATACCACGGTGAAACCATCAAGAACGTTCGCGAAGCTGTCAAGAACTACTCGACTAAGTTGGGACTGGAACATCCATTGGCCATCGCTTTAGGTATGACCAAACATTTCTCTTGGTTAAATTCATTTAATTTGTATTGCTAGAAAATCAATTCGTTTTTATTAACGCATAAATGAAATGCATTCCATGAAACTAACTAATGTGACCGTTATAAATCTGTAGATACAAAGGGACCTGAAATCAGAACTGGATTGTTGGAAGGTGGCGGCAGTGCTGAAGTCGAACTTAAACGTGGTGATTCCATCAAGTTGACCACAAACAAAGCCTATGCCGAAAAAGGAACAAAAGACATTGTCTACGTCGATTACTCCAACATTGTGAACGTGGTCAAGAAGGGCAACCGTGTATTCGTCGACGATGGTTTGATTTCATTGATTGTCACCGACGTAACAGCCGACACATTGACCTGTACCATTGAAAATGGTGGCTCATTGGGCTCACGCAAAGGTGTCAACTTGCCAGGTGTACCAGTCGATTTGCCAGCCGTTTCCGAAAAGGATAAGGCCGATTTGAAATTCGGTGTTGAACAAGGTGTTGACATCATTTTCGCTTCGTTCATCCGTAATGCTGCGGCATTGAAGGAAATCCGTGAAGTGTTGGGCGAAAAGGGCAAGAACATTAAGGTCATTTCAAAGATTGAAAATCAACAGGGTATGCAAAATTTGGACTCAATCATCGAAGCATCCGATGGTATCATGGTTGCTCGTGGTGATTTGGGTATTGAAATTCCACCAGAAAAGGTGTTCTTGGCACAAAAAGCCATGATTGCCAAGTGCAATCGTCAAGGAAAACCAGTCATTTGCGCAACACAAATGCTTGAGTCCATGATCAAGAAGCCACGTCCAACTCGTGCTGAAATTTCCGATGTTGCCAACGCTGTGTTGGATGGTGCTGATTGTGTCATGTTGTCAGGTGAAACAGCCAAAGGTGAATATCCACTTGAGTGTGTTTTGACCATGGCCAAGACCGCCAAAGAAGCCGAAGCTGCATTGTGGCAACGCAATCTTTTCAGCGACTTGGTATCAAGTGTGGGCACACCAATCGATGCAGCCCACTCGGTTGCCATCGCATCAGTCGAAGCTGCAGCCAAAACATTAGCTGCTGCTATCATCGGTAAGGTTCATTTTTGTTTTCGATCATTATCCATCATTGATAATATCAATCGATTTTCATTTATTATCCAAAATGTTACGTCATCATTGCGTCATTAACCAAATTGCTTGGATTTTACAGTTATCACAACAAGCGGACGCTCAGCTCATTTGGTCTCCAAATACAAGCCAAAATGCCCAATCATCGCCGTCACACGGTTCCCACAAACAGCTCGTCAATGTCATTTGTACCGTGGTATTCTGCCATTGTCTTATGATGGTAGGTCACTTTTCTCTATTTATGAAATTGCTCGTCTTTTTTGTTGTTGCTCCATTTCGGGTCCATTCATTTAATCCGGATGTCGATTTTTGTTAATCAAATCTAACGAACCAATTAAACTAATACAATCGCTTCTGTTTGTGTTGTTTAGTTCAACCTGGATCTGACTGGATGAAGGATGTTGATGACCGAGTACAATTTGGTGTTCGTTTCGGTAAAGCTCGTGGCTTCATCAAGAGCGGTGACCCAGTTGTCGTTGTTACCGGATGGAAACAAGGCTCAGGCTTCACCAATACTATGCGCATTGTGTAAGTGTTGCTATTGTGACATTGCTATGGCATCCCCCTTCAATTTGAATTCAATTATATGAAGCTCAGTAGCGAAACCTTTTGATTCATCAATTAATGTTTGGCCATGTTTTCTTTTCTCATCATTTCAGAAACGTTGAATAAATTCACTTCAATAACATCTCCAGATGACACAAAGTGTATTGATTGCGACGTTATTAGATGAATACAAAGTGATCAACTATATGTAAAACTGTATTATATGTGGTTACATAATAAAAGAAAAACAATTTATTTGGAAATGAATAGTCGCACATACTAAAAAATATATATTATTTGAAGAAAGAACAAAATTTATCTAGATCACTGACAAACAAATGAATTTATAGTTAATCACTGTTTAAGTAAATTTTGTTGCTGGGACTTATTTTCAATTCTCTCTATTCTCAAATCAATCTAATAACAACAGCAACAACAACAACAACAAAAAACCTGTTAACTTGTTATGCGTTCCTTGAATAAATGCTGCAAAAGCACTATACATTATGTTACAAAACAACGATAAATCTATGTTCTGCGCTTCGCCTTCATTGAAAACACAAGCCATTTCATTTTGTGTATAGAATTTAAAATGTGTTTATTTGTGGGCAAAAATTAAAATTTACAAATCATTTTGTCGTATAGAAATGTTTGTGTATGGAACCGTTAGTTTATTCAAGTGGTTGTCGATCACCAGATGGATCAATTTCTGGCATCGTTGGAATACGCCGACCGCTGTTCGTACCAATAATCGGATCATTGGCCAATTTCGAGAAGGAAAATTCATGCATTTCCAGTTCTTTTCGATTGCCCAGAATCAGTGTCGCTGTACGACTTAGGCTACTTTCAGGAATTTCATACCGCACATTTGCCATAGTGTTTGAGTTTGCCTGGGTGTCTGTCTTACCGACATATTCCAAATCATCACGTTGAATGTCAACGGCATACTTTTTATTCTTAACATTACTATTCGAATTGATTTGCTTCGATGGAGATATTTTTAGTGGTGGCAGCGAACCAGCCGGTACTCTTACTAACTTTGGTGTTGCTTCATCTGATGTCTGTTGTTCCAGTTTTGGACGTATTCGTTCATTTGATTTAATCTTTTTATCGACATTACGGCGATGTGATGAGACGGCCGCCTCGTTCGCTTCGTTCGCCTCGAGCGCTGGTTCAACGGGCGTTGGTAATGTGTACGGTAGTTTCTCCTTTATTTTCAACAATTCACACAACTAAAAAATGGGTTCAAATGGAAGAGAGGCAATTCATTTGAAAAATTTTCAACGCTTCTTTGTTGCGAAAATGATTGGGCTTTTACTTACTTCTTCGATGCCATCCATTGACTGATGAAGTGTATGCGTTGAATCACCCGGTATATGTTTCCGAAATACAGCCAAATACTGTATCAATTTTAGGCGTGCTATTGTCATCACTGTGTGGGCATTTTGCAATTGAATTTTTAATACTTCTGAACTCTGGAAGGAAAAAAGCACACACAATTTATGGACGTATTTTCGAACGAAGCTAATGAAATAGCTTGATCAAAAGAGCTGAACATGTTCGAAATAACTTACGTTCTCTAAATAACCGTCGACAATACCCGGTTCGTTGTTCAGCTGCGGTGGACTAACCACACGCATGGCAGCCTTCGTTGATTTACTCTGTAAACTATGTACGTGCTCTCTGAGCAGATCACTTCTCGATGGTGACTGGCTCAGCTTATTCGACTCATGATGATTGACTCGATGATTTCTATGCGACAAATCATCATTAACCCGTTTCGGTTGCGAACCAAAATGATTCGCAGTATTTTTTGAATTACTATTCCGTGGCAGCGTGGCAGATTTACCACTTGTATGCGCCGATTGCTTATTGGCAAATTGATGCTTCGGTGACACAGTGAACGTGTTTGGTGGTCGTTCGTATTTCTGGATAAGATGAAGAATAAGATTACTTATAGGAATTGTTGAGGAAATTGATTGGCGTTGAAATCAAGTGACATTCACGTTCATCAGTAGTAGAATAGCATCGGACAACTTACGTGAGGTGCATACATGTGCAGCGAATGTCGAATTATTAGCAGAACGTCAATGTTACTCGGATATTTCATTAAGTACGACAGTCCGGTTGTATAATCACTGTGTAACACTGAAAAAAACAAATGAAATTGTAGTTAGGATCTGGAATCATGCTGTTGAAAATATTCACATCTAATTATATTATATGATGATGATAACATACTTTCTTCGCGAATGCTTATCAACATGGCCACAACAATGTAGTTTGTCAATTCAAAATGAGCACCTTCCGCAAAAATTGCATCCCAAAGCACCAAGAGATCGAGTAATTGAAATTCACGGCCGAACAGCAACCGTAGCCATCGTCTGTTGATGTAAAAAATTAATATTGTTTTATCGAATTGTAGATAGATTTTAGTTTTTTGATTAGTTTTGACTTATGGAAGGCCAAAACCTTTGCATTGACGTCGTTTACGGCGATGCCGTATTTAAAAAATCAATAGGAAAAGATCTACAACATACATGCCAAATAGTGGTAATGGGATATCCAATTGCATCAAGTGATTATGTAGTTGACTGTCGGCTTTGGCAAGGATCTTATCGCCTGGAAAATGAATGCAAAATGAATAAAGAAAGAGATAGCGGGAAACGAATACGTACGAATCATGTTCAGTTGGCTGACCACTTCCAAATCGGACACGGTATTCACTTCGCCGTGATTCTAAAATGAAATGAAAAACACATTATTTACGAGGAAAAAAGCGAATTGGATTCAATTAATTACAGCGCACTGTGGAGTCGATGGGAAATACCCGGTTGCGGTTGGATGCAAGTCATGAATTCGATAAAATGATTCAATTTCCGTCATTACTTTTGTAAAAATGAAGCTGAAAATGTGACAAGAGCATTTCCAATTAAAATCATGAACATGTGAATGGTTCACATTCAACATAGTTTTGATTTTGGTCAAAAGATATTCACTTACTATGAATCTTCTTCCAAGTACTTTGGATCCAACACTTCGCGAAGCTCAAGGCTGAAAATTCAAAAAAGAAATCCAATTAAAACTCTCGACTCCGTTACAATAGAATACCAATTGAGATATGCATTTTACTTACTCCACATTGTGAGCCGAAATATCATTGATGTGCAGCAATGCCTGATGATCACAGTGCATAACAAATATGATGGGTGCAAGAATTTCGTGCATACCTTGGCGATAGCACATTTCGGGATAGACACGTGCATAACAAAAGAGGATATTTATCATAATCTCCTGTATATTTGGCTTTCGAAAAAACTCAATGCCAGGGAATGTACGGATAACATCCTGCTTGATAACCGTGCACAGTTCCTTATCGCAAAAATGCTGATTCCACACACTTTTATCAGATTGAGAAAGCGGGTCATCCTCGGCCGCCATTCGCGGATTGATATAAAACTGTTTGATTAGTTCGACATATCTGGAGCAACGGAAAATTACACATTTGCAAATTGAATTACGCATTGGCACATGTTTAGTCATTGTGACTAAGAAAAAAAGAGCACTGCAACGAAATCGTTCGCATACAAACCTGCTTCGATCGCATTTTCGTTGTGTTACCCACGATTGTGATCGTCCATTCAAGACTCCCAACAATAATGACCAACAAATGCTGCGAAATTTTGATGTTTTCAGCCCTCCGTTGACGGCCGATTGCCGTAACTGCACCAAATGTGGATCTTCTGATAAGCGTGAAAGACTCCTCCACTCCGAACTAACATAAACATTCCAAAGTTCAACATTTTTGTACACACTATGTGTTCAATCAGGACTAATACACCATAATTCCAATCCAATTTACTTACACATATTTTTCCGCCGTTGTGGATTCATTTGTCTGCAATGGTTTTGCTTTGGAAGACGGCCCACTCGCGTAATTACTAGAACTGCTGTAGTTGCATTTTACTGCCGATTCCATTTAATTTATAAGCGCACTAACTACTTCATTAATAATAAACAATCAAATCAACACCAATAATACTAATATAAGGCGAGTTATTGACGAATAAAACTAAATGATAATTTATTCAACCGCTTTTTATTATAAACCATCGACTTGGTCTGCCCCTTTCGAACGATGTAGACGAAAAATTTTGTTTATTTTTTTTCGTTTCGCCTCTTTGTTCTGAAATTTATTAAACTAAAAATCGAATCGCTTTGTGTATATTTTGCAATTACTTTTCCAGCTGATTTTGAAAGATGACAAGTCATTAGTGATAATACCCAGTCGAATAGTTTTACCATATTATCAATAGATGGCACTAAGCAATTTTTTTTCTCATTGGTTCATATTTTTTTGTTAGTTTGATTGAATTAAGATTGCAATACAATCCTTCTTCGATTGAACACTATTGACGCAACTATTCCAAATGATTATTCTGAATTTTAATCAGCATTAAATTGAAACCCTTTATCGATTCTTATTTTTTCAATCATAATTTGCCCTCAAATATTAAATGCAATCATATATCAATAAGAGGCATAGACTATTGGAAATTCAAAGTTAATTTATTAAACAATTCCATATCAATACTCACCGTATTTCCATGATAGATTTTTTAATTCTAATGAAATATCTTCTTCTCCGCTCTAGCGACTATGTTTTTGCATTACTCCAAATTGGAGTCTCCAATCGAGAAGATTTTTTTTAAAGCAAAAAGTGTGATTCATGTGTAAATCATGCATCATTGGAAACAAAATCAAAATAATTTCAATTGGAAACTACTTTTTTTATTTAAATATTTATTCCTTTAATCTTTCCTTCGAGAATAAACCATAAATTCCTGGAAAAACTTGAATTGGTTGTGATTTTAATTCAACATTCTTGAATATTTTCAAGTAAATCATACCACTCAGTGGCACCATAAACGTGTTATGCGTGACACCGTAAGAGTAAAATCGAATTTTTCCGATTTTTGTCCGAATTTACACAAAGAAACATTGCAAAATATTGTTTTTCTTCTATGTATGTATAATATAAAATAAAAATTAGAATTTTATTTCCAACTCTTGAAACGGTTTTCATAATGAAAAATATGTCAATTAGAATAGAATTTCACCAGTATATATGAACCAACTGTTTTTTTCAATTGAAATGAATTGAATTGAATTTAAAAATGATAATATCCCTAAATAAAAGCGTTGAATATGTAGGGGAGAGACAAAGTATATATAGCGACATAAAAAGACATATCATTCTATATAATAACTATGTACAGTTACTATACCTGTGCCATGGGCTACTTTGACTTTCATAAACAGAGCTACAATTTCTAAACGTATCAAATCAACCGTCGTTATCTACATTTTATTCTAGATTTTATCACCATTTTCCAGAATTCAAGTGTGAAATCCTATCACTTCCACCCTGAGCGTGTCATTTTAATCAAATGCTAGCACGAGACACACGATTGATGATTAGAATTCTGTTGGATACTACCTTTTCTCAAGTTCTTAAAATAATCTATGAATTTATTGCCCCGTGTGACCAAAGGAAATGTACGAACGAACAAATAATGTAATTGTCGTTATCATGGTCCGTGTGCCCGTTTTGACAGTGAAAGAGAGAGAACAGAGGATAGAAGTTGATTACATTTTGTATATATATAAAAAAAAATGAAAACAAAAATAGTCAGACAATGGGATCGTGTGAAAGTCGAAGTGAATCGATGTGTTTCATATGCTCGTTTAAGCATGATCGTATGATGACACATTTTTTTATACGTATAAATGCTCTGTGCACGCGTTTGTTGCTGCTGATAATAGTAGCTGAGCGGACAGAATACATGCGGTTTTTTTTCTTCCTTTTCAATTGGTTTTTTGTTTTCTTATTTTTTTTTTATATAAAACGAACGACGCCTGTGAACGAATTGATATCACGAATATCCCACGCAGCGCGTCATTTGAAGTACTGAACGAGAAAAACGAATGCAGATCAATGAGGAGAGAAACAAAACTAATTGCGATTGTAAGAAAAATCGATCTGATTTTGAAACTGCAGTGCCGTTTGATTTATGGCTTCTTAATAGGCGCAAGGCATCAATTATTATCACTTGAATATAATGAATGCGTTCATCAAACAGATGATTCGATTTCACGCTTCTGTTAGCGAAACGACAAAGGTCAGTCATGCACCTTCATTGTGGCTGAATCAGGAAATGCGATCTGATTCATCTAAGTAACCAATTAATTCTGAACGGAGATTTTCCGTTTCGCTGTTGTGTTCGTAAGAACAAATTAAATTTTATCATCTTTTCGAAACGTACGATTTTCTGATTGGATCAGAGGCAAGAGGCAAAAATAGAATGATCGTGCGACAATTGGCTTTGATAAGGTTTTGTTGGTAAACCTTTGATTCTGATGCCAGCAATCGTTATTGGAATGAAGAAGAACCATGAATAAGCGTAGACCAGCTTCGGTTATCCTCGGCGGAAATTCGGCTTGAACCTGGCCTAGACCATATGAACAAGCAAAACAGAACTATAGACCCAGTCTACGTTTTTTCATTGGGAAGTGAAGCAAATGTCCAGAGAAAGTCAATCGAATCCAATTATCTGTTAAGAGGTGAATTACCTCGTTTGTTCAACTGTGTCACGTGCAAAATGAGTGCCCAAAATTTGAGAAATTGTTTGTTGTCGTCCAACACTCTAGTGTGGCAACGTCAAACGATGATTGCTATTGAACGGTTCCAATAATTACTACTTTTAATCAAGATTCAAGATTTAGCCCCAGTTGAGGCGACATTCAGATATCTTTCAGTGCAAATGCACTGAAAGTATGAATGAAATGTGCTTGTGAACTTGTTACAAACACGAATCGTCGATTTGAAATCGTTCAACGAAAGAAGAAGTAGAAAAAAATTTAAAACGATTCGATTGCAGATATGCAAAACTCGATTCATTCGTTGCTTACTTGCACTTTTTGCATGCGCATTTGAATTGAAAAAAAAAATATTCATACGAATGGTATGAGCTCATGTTTCACGCCGCATGTGCATCGATTGAATTGCAAGCAGGAAAAAAGTGTTAAGCGTTTTGAACGGTCGTGCACAGCTCGAGTGTTAGATTCTAAAGTAAACAGTATTTTCTGAAAATAAATCTCATCTCAATCCCGTGTTGCATCCGTATTAAATTGTGTGCGTGTCTCTGTGTGTATGTGCGTTGGCAAGTATTGATTTCAGAAAAGATTCATTCCTACGTACAAACGTTCGTTCGTTAACGAATCTTATGAATAGCATTCCACCTTTATAATGTCACAATTTCTCAGATGATTACATAAATCGGCGAAGCATACAAAGCACGACTAAACTAATGTATAAGTTTACATTTACGTGAGCATTTTTGCAAACGAAAAATTATATATGATGTACATCACTCGGTCGACACTGAAGAGACACACAAATAAAATCGAATGTTCAAAATGAACTTACATGCGTACACAGCGATCGTCCGATTAATTCAAAAAACAAAGCAAACCAGCAGCAGTAGCAACAAATGAGATGAGAAGCGGAGAGAAAAAAAAATAAATAAAGTAGCAACACGTAACTCGAGTAAAAAATCACTTGCAAAGTGAATACAACAACACTAAACGCCTTATCAATTCTCGATGTGAATTGAAATATATAAAGCTGAGAGGATGCCAAGTGGCTTGTTCAGTGAATTTTTTGAATCAATAACGTTAACGTCTTTTTCGAAAATTGCAAATAAAAAGGTGAACGTTCGGTTTAGAGCGAAAATGAGCTTCTGAACTGTACAACAACAATAACTCTATTTGGCAATAAAGCAAAAAAAAAGAGAGAACATATGACCGGTTATTAACATAGAGCGGATAAAGTGAGAAAAAGAAATAAGCGATAATATCACGTGTTCGTTAAGTGTGGATAAGACAGTGTGGCCGGAGTTTTGACAGATTGAAACCGAAAACAATTTTGACACACTCTCTTGCTTTGGTGAATTTAGTGTGTTTGATTCGAGCATCCAAATAGCTGCCACTATTCAGAATGGTTGAAACAGATAAAATTGATGCGGAAAATTCCGTTTTCGATGATGAATCGACTATCAAACAAAGATCTCAGGCTGCTCGACGTCTCAGTGCCGGAGTCGCTAACAAAAATGATTCTACAAAGACTGAACCGAAAAACTTTTATAATAGCGTAAGTCATTATTTTATTAAATTCGCCAATTATATGCAAGTGATTTTTTATGGACACGTGTCGGTTGGATTTATTTATTTTTTCATACAGTCGGATGATGCTTCATGGACTTTAAAGGATTTAGTTTGGAAAAATGTCGCTTTCTTCGTGTACCTTCATTTGGGTTCATTTTATGGAATATATCAAATTCTCACCGGCCAATGCAAATTAGCTACCATTTTTATGGGTAATTATTCTATTGACTATTAATTAAGTGCATGTGAATGAATTGCAGTGGAATGTTAGAATTTTCAAGGTCAACAGCTATAGTCGTTTATGGATTGAAAAGAAAAAAAATTAAGTTCAATTATTTGGTCAATTTTTTTTTAGCCATTTTGCTTGTTCATTGGGGATTATTGGGTATTACTGCCGGAGCACATCGATTGTGGTCACACAAAGGGTACAAAGCAACCTGGCAGTTGAAATTGATTTTGGCTTTCTTCAACACCATTGCCCATCAAAACGGTGAGTGATTGCCGCATTTTTTTAGGCCTTTTTTTTAAATCTCAAATAAATTCGCAAAATTGAAAATTAAAATTCGCAAACATTTAAAGAAATGAAGTGAAGTGATAATGGACAATTGAGTATAATCGATGTATTGAAAGTGTTAAAAGTAACTGTTCATACAGTGTCTAGCGAATCATTCTATAGATGCAATTATCAGGTGTTAATTGAATTTTCGCAATTTTTTTCCTTTCTCAAAATATACAGGTATTTGGGTTTGGGTTCATGATCATCGCGTTCACCACAAATATCAAGATACGCACGCCGATCCACACAATGCTGGTAAGAAAAATTGACCTAAGCTAGATTTGATGTTGAAATTTAAGTGGCGTTTAACTTATATTTTAATTTATGTTTTTAAATTGGTTAATAGGCCGTGGATTGTTCTTCTCGCACTTTGGATGGTTGATGGTTAAGGAACGTCCAGAAGTCGATCAAAAGAGACAAACCATTGACATGAGCGATTGCATTGCCGATCCAATCGTTATGTTCCAGAAAAAGTAAATTTATTTTCATTTTTTTTTTTTTGAAGAACGTTCAAAGCAATCGATTAATTTGAAATCGTCATTTTTTTTCAGATACTACTGGTACCTTATGCCATTGATATCTATTGTGTTGCCAACTTGGATTTTGTGCCACTTTTTCGGTGAAACATTGAGCGCTGCATGGCATGTTGGTTTCGTCTTGAGACACTTGTACACATTGCACGACACCTTTTTAATTAACAGCTACGCTCATGCCGTCGGCTCAAAACCATACGATGCCAGCATCCGACCAACCGACCACCGGCTCTTGGGTATCATGACACAAGGTGAAGGATGGCATAACTTTCATCACGTCTTCCCATGGGATTATAAAACCGCGGAATTGGGAAATTACCGTTACAACATTACGACTGCCTTCATTGATTTCTTTGCCAAAATCGGTTGGGCCTATGATTTGAAAACCGTATCAAAAGAGACTATTCAGAAGCGTATGGCTCGCTGTGGTGATCTCAATGTGAAATACAGTGAAGCCACCGTTGATGATTTGATGCGTATTCAAGCCGCCAAACACGATGAACCAGTCGAACCAAAGGAATTAGTCTGGGTAAGTTCTTTAAAAAAAAACACAAATGATTATTCGACTTCGTATCATAAGAATATTTTTATCTTCTTTATATTTTCAAACTAATTGTTTCTTTTTTTTCATTCATTCATTCAGGGTTGGGACGATGCTGATTTTGATGAGGGCGAGAAAAAATCCGCAACCATTCTTCACAAAGTTGAAAATTAATTTCAACCAATGAATACTACCTATTTAATAAATTATCTCGTAGCTATTTTGATGAAAGAATAGTTTTTAAGAAAAAAAACATTAATGGAAATTGAAGAGAATACTGTAATTGTATTTATCAATGATTGAAACAATGTTGAAATTCGAATGACTGGTGTCAGGGAACCCAAACCGAAATTTCAATAAAAACAAAGAATGTAATAATTAAAGAGAATTTATTCGTGATTTCTTTGACATCGCACAATTATTGTTTTTGTCTGTCTGGTTGGTTGCGCACGTTTCCATGAAACTGGATCCCGTTGTTTTTGGATTTGCTTTCAAATGCTAATTACGTTGACGTTAGAGTATGGAACAAAAAAAATATGATGGCATTTCATTTTGCAGCGAAAAAAAAGTCGTTGATCCAGCAAAAATAATGAAAATCTATCGAATTGTTCAAATTAAGTTATATGACCATTTCAATTTTTCAATGCATTTAGAACATTTTGGTCAACCGTTTGATATATTCATGTGTTACCGAATATTAATGTTGTGCAAGTGAACAATGATTTTCTGTGACTCTAAAATTCAATAGATTTTGTATTGATTTTACATTCAAAATATAAAAAAAAAAATTTGTTCTGAGAATAAAGGAATAATACTTTTCAAATGGCACCAAGTATTCTGAGTAATTCATCGCTACTTCTGGCCGATGCAGTTGTTGAGCGAAAAAGTACGGATTTTGGAACGCCAATTCCCAAAAAAATACACAAAGTAAAAGAATATAATTTGAGTTTTTTTGGTTTTTGTGAATTTTTCTAAAAAAAAAAATATCAAATCATCTAAAAATGATCAATTTCCACCCTTCTTCCAGCGAAAACCGTATTTTCAAACCGATATTGTGTGGAAAAATGTCGCCATCATGACTTCACTTCACTTATTTGCGCTGTACGGAGCATATCTAATGGTGACACGACAAGCTAGCATTTTTACGTTTATTTTGTGTAAGTGCATCTGATTGAAATTGTGTGATTGCAAACCGTTTTTTTTTGGTCATTTCTGTTCAAAGTGAATTGATTTTGAAAATTGAAGAAAAAAAAAATCGATGTTCGTTCTAGCATATGCGTACGGTTCATTGGGTGGCATGGGAATTACGGCTGGCGCACATCGTTTATGGGCACATCGATCATATCGAGCCAATTATAAGTTGCGAATTGTGTTGTGCATTGCAAATCTAATCGCATTTCAAAATTCCATCTTCGAATGGGTAATTGAAATATAACGACTTAAAATTGAAAGTCTTTAATTTAATCAATTTGTCTTTCTTTCGTCCGTCAATTTCAATTGTTAGGTTCGTGATCATAGGTAATTCAAGTTAATCATCGCATCATTTTGCATGACATTTTCAATGATGTGTTTTTTATCATTAAGGGTACATCACAAGTTCACCGACACTGACGCTGACCCGCACAATTCGCGTAGAGGATTTTTTTTCTCGCACGTGGGCTGGTTGCTAGTGAGAAAACATCCAGATGTGCTTCGAAAAGGTGCCACTATAGATATGAGCGATTTAGAACGCGATCCAATCGTTATGTTCCAGAAAAAGTGAGTAAAGACTAATTTTTTTAAATTTAATAAAAAAAATCGTCCTTTTTCATGTTCTTCTTCTATAGATATTATTTATTGTTGATGCCAACATTTTGCTTCATAATACCAACACTGATGCCAATGTACATTCTGAATGAAACATTATGGAACTCGTGGTTCGTTGCGTCTGCATTGCGATACGTATTGACTCTTAATGCAACATGGCTTGGTATATATAAATCAAAAGCAAATGAAGATTTTTTTTGTCACATTTTAATTATTTTCAAAAAATTTCAGTGAATAGCGCTGCTCATAAATGGGGTACAAAACCACTAGATCGGTTAGTATTTACCAGTCGAAATTTATTTATAGGTGAAAAAGCGAATTTGCTCTAATTCAATCAATGTTTACCTTTTCCATTCACAGCACGATTCCACCGTCGAACAATGTATTTGTTGCTGTCGCAGCGTTTGGTATGTGGAATTTCTCTATGAAACAAAAGAATGTACTAAATATTCGAAAGTGATTTGATTGATTTTTCTGAACACTTTTTTAACTTACAGGCGAAGGTTTTCATAATTATCATCATGTATTCCCGTGGGATTATAAAACATCGGAGCTCGGTGATTATTCAATGAATTTTTCGACGGGATTTATTGATTTCTTTGCTAAAATTGGTTGGGCCTTTGACCTGAAAACGGCATCAAAAGAAATTATCGAAAGACGATCGATTCGAACTGGCGATGGAACCAGACAGAAATCGGCAGATATTTCGAAATGCTCGACTGAAGAAGCCGATGTGAATTCAAACATCTGGGGCTGGAATGACGTCGATATGGATGTCGATGATAAGAAATGTGTCACCATAATCAATCGAATTGAAAATGACAAGTGATTGTACTATTTAAGTGAAGTTTTATTCAAATTAATCATAATTCACGTTCACAAATTAAATTGCATTTAAAAAAAAAAGACACGACAGAAGATGAAAGCGAAGAGACACAGAAAAATAAAACGTTCATAAAAATAATGTTTTGGCCAATTGTTTTCTTTATCAATAAATTATTTTTGATTTAATTCTAATTATTAAACGAATGCTAAAATTGTTTTGCAATAAATATTTGCTCCATCGAGAAAAAAAAATTGAACAAATAAAAATTGTTTGTGAATATTTGTTTTGTTTTTTTTTTATTTGTTCTATTGGTGTTCATAGCTTTCGGTTCGTCTGTGATAGCCTGGATTGTAGTATAGGTGTTTGATTGACTCAGGCCCAGGGAAGGCGGCGTGCTTTGCAGCATACGCAAAGGCCGACACAAGAGCGGCATGATTAATCATTCCCGAGAAAATGGTAGCAAATTTCAATGCTGGTAGAATAAAAGGTAGAACTGAGCCCATTAGAATAGCAGGCATCAAAATTGCAGGAATGCCCAATTGCAGCAGGTAATCACCGGGTCGGTTTTTAGCACGACCAGTTGCCTCCAACCAAGTTGATGCTTTGTGAAAAAAAAGAGAAAAAAAATCGTTTTAGTTTCATCCACATCACGACCTTCATTGATTGAACCAATTGAATTGAACTTACCTCGTTTCAACGACAAATTGATGGCGTTCTCTTCATTCGGCACCACTTTGACAACCATACCTGGAATGAAATGCAATTTTATTTCACGATCGTGAAAAAATCGCTGAAAACTCTTCAAAAGCCGTTCATTTATTTCAACTTCGCTCATTTGCAAATAGTATTTGTCCAGTGTTTCTTCATTGATCGAACCATCTTCACTGTTATTTTGGTTGAATGTTAGGATTTGGTCGAGAAAATCGGCCGTCACGTTGCCCGTATTCGGGTAGATCGGTGATCGTTCCATGCGTTGCAAAATGAAAATTTTCATGCATTTCAAAATGTTCAATCGTTGCATGCACTGAAAAATACGAATCGGAATGGATGTTTTCACATATGCCAACATATTACCGACTTCCTTGTTCTTTTGCTGAACTCGCGGTGGTGGCGGTTGCTCTTGCAATTGATCTTGTGTCTGTTCACCACTATCGCCTCCAACGTCAATAATATGATTTTGGTTTTCCATCAGGAGCTCTTCGTACACTTTCGAATTGATTCGACTGCACTTGATGGGCAGAATAAGGAAACAGGCAAAAATTGCTACGACGGTGAATTTCATTTTTTCCACAAAAAAATATTTCTCTGATTGATCTCAGCACCCTGAGCAAACAACAATCAAACTTTTTGAATTCTCAATTACACATGCAAGGAAAAAAACTAACAACCACCAAAAACAAAAAATTCGTCAGTTAGTTTGTCTTAATGAAATGCACAAATTCAATTGTATGATCTTCTTTTTGCAATCCCGCTGCCGATGCCGATGCCAATGCTCGTGTATGGTGCTTGAGTTGTTTCAAGTTGTCGTCGTTAATTCAGACTGAAAAGTATTAGGCTGTAAACACCGATCAATATGTTATCTTCGAAGTGAGGCAAATGATGAACTAAAGAAAAACTCATTGCGGACAATGTTTTCTTTACGTTATAAGCGCTCAAAGAGAGCGCGCGGATGCTCCATAGACACTGTTTTGATACGTATTAGACTACTAGATCGTGAGCCAGAAACTAAAACATAATTTTCACACACAACGTTTGTTATTCCAATGCATTCATACATACGAGTGATATTCGAGTGGTGTTCGCACCAAGGGGTAGAACGCAACCGTATGCGACACAGACACACAGCATCACTTTCACCCGAATTTATGGCAACCAATAAATATTGACAAAATCCATTTGCCTCCCGCTTAAGCTCATTCCAAACTGTCACTTCATCACCGATAAATGAATGCGTTTTTGCGAAATTGTGCTCAACTCCCGTGGTGCACGAAACGCATACAAAAACTGAAGAACCCAATGGCAGAAGATCAAGAGATCGAGACATGCACACTTATATTTATATGTAACATGCATGCATGTACGAGTGCGGCACTAAGTGAATCTCATCACCACGTTCACAACGGAACACACCAGATTCATAGGCCTGTATAATTACTATGAGCAATAAAAGCCGCGAACTAAGGTTCAGACCTAAAGTGTGCGGTGTGCGCGCCGCATATCGTTTGGGAAATTGGATCAAAGATTGGAAGAATATATGTATCGCAACAACAAAAAATTGTTACAATGATGCGTGATCCAAAAGAAATGTGCATGCTGAGAATTTTATGGTTCTTGGTGTATATGATGTGAGAGCATGAAATTGGCGTGTGCGAAAACGTCACCGTTAATGACGATGCACATATCAACGAAAAAATTATGCTTTCTGGTTGAGAAACAGAATATGTTCGTAATAAGTTTTTGCCGATACTGATGCAGCTGCTAATTTTGCTGTTTTTTTTAGCTCGTTCATTTAGCGCTAGTTCGAATTTTAGCAGCCAATTAGTTCTGTCTGCTAAAGCTGTGAAGGTAGCAGAGCGCGTCTGTCTGCGGAGAATATTCTGTGAGTGAATGAAAAAAAAGAAGGATTAATCGTCTCGATCAGTCGTGTTCATTGATTGAACAGAGTGGTTCTAGAATCGACCACATTGAGAATAGAATTTGCATGATCAGAATAGAACATGTTCAAAAAGTTGCAAAATGCGTAGCGTGCATACGCCCCAACAAACAGGTAATCTGCAGCTAGATTTTTTCCTTCTTTTTCTGTTTGTATTTAGACGCATCAGAATTGGGTCATCTGAAGTGTTGGACCGTATGACGCTTAATATGTTTTATATATTGGATTAATCTGCTCGATCCAAGCTGATGTGCGATACACATTATTTCATCATCTTCTCTCTTGTATTTTTTTTCTTCTTGGCCAAGTGATGGATAATGGAGAAACGAAACCATAATTGATGGAATAAGAACAAGTTCAAATATGTGCATTGAATGGTGTTGCGGTGTCCACATTTCATTTCCTTTTATCTTATTAAACTTTTTTTTCTCATCATCTGCTTCGTTTTCGATTCAGCTACATGACGATGCTCTGCTCTGAATTCGTGCATATTTGTAATGAACATTAAATAACATTAAAGAACACAGAGCAGCAGTTTTGAGTGTACGGTTGTAAAATACGAAATGGTGCATGAAATGCAATATTCATTTTATCTCCATTGAATATATTGACCCTCTTGCGATGATCGATGCGAAACAATTGAAAATTAGAAAAAGAAGAAGAGAAAAAAACATCGACTGAATATCGATATAATCGACGATTGATCGATCGTACAAAGACATTTACTCATAGCGCACTACAGTTGCGTTTGTTAAGGGAGCATCGTCCCCGTTTTGCAAGCTCATTGCTCCGTTCGGATTTGTTCATGTCGTTCAAATAAAACAATTAACTAGCAATTATTTGTAGTAAAACATTTCTTCATTTCATTTCAACGCGCATTCCAATCGATAATTCTTTTCTTCTGGCCTGCACTAGATCAGTCTTCTCACGTAGAAATGTGTGCGGTCATTTATTCAATTAGTCTCTACCATCTTCTTGTTCTTCTCCGTTGCAATATTAGCACTGATTGATTGATTTCAATAATAGAAATCATTTCTGCGAATCGAGCATGTGATTAGAAAGAAAGTGATGAGGATCAAGTCATTGCCACCACCAACGAACAATTTGTCCAGTATGTGTGTTAGCCTAGCGCGAATGGCATCGATTCCGCCAAATACAAAAACACGAAAAAAAAACTAATGCGAGGATGCTGAACTTTTCTGCGTACGCGCTTTGCTATTATTATGTTGATGATGATGGTGATTACATTTGTTTTTTTTTATGCTTCTTCATAGTAAAAGTGGTTCACGCACATTCAGCTCATGAATGTTTTTCTAGAATTGTAGGTAAGAAAAGTGCATTGTTGTATTATATTTATCTAAATGACGAGCGAGAGAAACTTGTTCTCGTGCTCGTTCAATGTAATACAAAATTATTGTGCAAAATCCGAATCACTGCTGACTAAACGAAATCACATCACATAGCTGTAAATTTTACTCTAAAACAATTCCCCGATATCTACGTATATGTATGCGATGATCGAGATATGATGAGATTTGTATGCAAGTTCATGCACGACCATATTCACGAGATAGCCGAGCGAGAGAGAGAGAGAGAGCGCTTCAATCTTTAATATCACATATGAAAATGAGGAGATTGAAGAGAATTGTGCGCATCAATTATTGTTAATTCGTATCGATAACTGTTCTTTTGCTTAATAACTATGAATTATAATTTATATATATTTATATCGTCGTCGATGTTGTTGTTGTTGCTTCCGCTGCTACTGCTGCTGCTGTTGTTGGTTTCTATTTTTTTATCCATATCTATCATAAACTAAGCAAATCACTTTTATAGCATTTGCAGCGGTTAGACATCAATGAGTTGAACTGTTGTAAATGTAATTTAAATGATACGTGATACTTGAATGCTCTACTTTGTCTTCTGACAGTGGCCCACTGGTCTATAATGCCTCCTGTGGATAGTGCTAATATCAGGAGACTTAGCTGATAAATCGTTTTATTAGCGAACGAGCGAAAAAGTTCCCTAATCATACACATGATAAATCTTTATTGGTTTATTGATAAAACTGACCATAATCCTGCACTTCATTCATACCGTATTTCCGTAGAAAAAAAAGAGAAACAATTCCCGTTGTTTTCAATTTCTCAATCGATTGACAATCAATCGATCAATTTCAATTTCTCTAGCAATTTTGATATTCTGTGATGATATGACGCTCTGAATTGCATGAAAAAGTAAAATTGTTATGATTTGCATGTGGCATTTTTGTGTGTGGCTGTTTTTTTTTTTATTGGTTCGTTCGTGTGTGCTTATTCATTTAAAGCAAAAAAGAAAAACTACTTGCTCACTTGAAAAACGATACGATGGACGGTCATTCATGGAACGAAAATCGAAAGCGACCGCTACCAATATGTTCTATGCTAATAAATTTTGACGAAATTCAGTCATCGTATGTAAATTTTGTCACGTTTATTCATAGTCAGCGCGTTTCATTCGCCAAAAAAGCCGAAATTCTTGAGCGTTTTTTTTTCTTTGCCTTTTCTTCTTTCCACTCCCGATTTCTTCTTTTGTTTTTTTCTTTGCAGGCTACAACAGTGACAGCACGCTTTAATGTACATATTTACAGTAATTTAGAGCTAATTTTGATACGATTCGTATTCTGGCGCTTCAACTATTTATGCTCTGCATTGAAGTGTACCAGTAACGATCAACAAACGGGCAATTTAAATAAAATGATCTTTGTTTTTTTCGACTGTTCCGAAAATGTTGTGACAAAGCGAAGACGACCGATGGTCACCGAGTATGCAAAGAAAGTGTCAAACTGTTTCGTATCAAATGCATTGACGTGCGCGATACTTTTATGCCTTTTAAAAGAAATTCATCAAGTATGCGACACAATGCTTTGCATGAAACTCTTTCTCTCTCTCTCTATCACTGTAGTCCAAATATGGACTCGTGCATACCAAAAATTAGGCTTTGCCTATTGTTTTTCTTGCATTCGGTTTCACGTCATAGTTGGTCTAATTTGCGTTCACGGCGATGTCGTGATTTAATTGAATTGAAATGTGAATCAAAGCACTCAACAAATCATATTTGGAATTTGCATATTGTTTGTGTGTGATTCGATATTGAATATTCTAAGAGTTGGGGGCTGAGCACGCGACATCGATTAATAAAAACGTTGTTGAGCTGTCGAAACATCAACATTTCGGTTTGTTCCGTCAAATAGTTAGCTCAGTGTGTGCAATCAATCGAAGTGCAATCGCGAGTAATTAACAGAAACAAACAAAAAATAATCATGGTGAACGCAATGGATAAACTCATTTTGGTTGCTGCCGTATTATGCTGTGTAATTAGTTTGGCCGCATGTCAAGATGTGCCCGAAGCAAACAATTCCATATCAGATCTGTCAGAAGGTTTGTGTTCATTTATTCCATTTTGAGTGCCAATTCGACCGGTAAATTTACAAATTATTGTTGCAAATCCACAAAACCAAAACCACACGCGGAAGAAAATGCCGAGAAAGAGAAATAGAAAAAACAATACCAAACAACAACACAACAAATTGTTCAAACCATATAAGAATGCTGTTGATAACAAGTGAATCGTTCTAACTGAATAAACTTTATTACGTGCTCATCTATGCAAAATTGTTGTTGAAATTAGCGCCGATCTATGCCAAATCAAGTGCCGTTTGGAATTTCTCGTACTTTCCCTTAATTCGGAAAGAGAAACAGTAAACAGCGTTTTTTTTCTTTCTAGAGTGGAGTCGTTGCGATAAAGGTTTTGGAAATGGTTTTTGAAATTGTTTACTAGACCATTTTAAAAACGATTCGCAATCGCAGTGCAAATGAATAATGCACTCAAATCATAAACAGGGATTGATTGTATGCAATCAAAATTGATTTGATGGTCAATTCTAAAATGCATTCTCAATGACTCTGATTTTGTCGGAAATTTTCAACAATTCATTTAATTGAGTGTGATTATTTAATTGCCGGCATTATTTATTCTTTTGATTAAGTTCTAAGCAATTCTAAATTAAAACAATTGAAGCTACCTTATCTAATGATAGCTTATTATGTTTTCCTCTAAATTAGCTCGTACTTTTGGACATCATCTGTTGAAACGCCTTACTTTCGCTATAATCCCAACTGCTTTTGTTGTTGGTATCATAATCACTCTTTTGGCTGCTCTGACCGTTGTCTCAATAAAAGGTCTCGGCGTTGGGGTAAGTTGATTAAATTCAAACAAAAATTCATTGAATTGAATAAATTCAATCAAATTCAGTTTTTGAGGAAAATTCCATATTTTCAATTTCTTCGTAAAATTCATAACGTTATTCTAGTATCCTAAGTTATTATACAATTTTCTATTCCATTCATTAATTTGTCATCAATCCAAACCAAAATCGTTCGCAGGTCATCCTTTTGATCATTGCAATTGGTCAAATATTGGCTCGTACATTCCAAGCAGCACCAGTGCCATTACCACCATACAACTCGCCAATTCCGCTCGTTTACCAAAGACCAGAGCCAATCTGGTTCGACAAGCCAGCAGGATGGTAAACTCCATCGAAAATGTTAACCATGCATGTTAACTTGTTTAAATTAATTTATTGTCGCACTTATTCCTAAGCTAATTTATTGCAACACCAGTATTTATTTATTTATTGAATAAAAATGTCAAAATAAAGCAACTATAAAAATGCAAACCAAATGATTTTGGTTGTTTTTCTTTGTAAAATTGATAACAAAGTTTCAAAATCAGTATATATTCACGAGAGGGAGAGAGAGAGAGAGAGAAAGAAAAGTTCTATAGATTTTATTATGATGGGAAAAGATTGTGCGTAGAGTAAGACTGCCCACGGCCGTAAACGGGCCTACATCTAGTCGTTTGGCCCAATTAAAACCACTTCGTAGAGGATTTCGTTTGATTTATAATGAAGCATATTATTAGTTTGCATTACACGGTAACCCATTTTACTGAATCCAATTCACTGGGCTGCTCCGCTGTACTGCGTACAGGTGAGCATACTGATTTCACACCATTAAAATCAATTACTGTTTGCGTTAGTTCTATTTTCTGCACAAATGGACAATTCGTCTTCCTCCGAAGCAAACAAATGCAAGGTAGAAGACGACGACTGCGATTCAAAAAGAAGAGAAGAAAAAAACTCGAACGCTTACGCTGAAACCACTTTAATGTAAAAATATCCGTTACAAAACGCAATGGATACATCACATGCAAACCATTCTAGTTGATGATCACATCAAGAACCAAACTGAACGCACGTACACTGTACACATACACACCGTCCGAATCACAACATAGAATCTTCAACAAACCGATGAAAGTATATTAGAACAAAAGCAATACAAAACTGATCAGTTCTGAGCATCAATTATAAGCAGGAAACGGCGCGCGAGCAACAAAGTAGACAGAGAAAGAAGAAAATGAAAATACATAAATAAGTGCGCCGTGCGCGTGTGCGCTCAAATAGCATATTGCTACAATTTTTTTTTCTTTCTTCTTTCACGTGCAAACAAACCATTAGCTAATAACCTGCAGTTTGTTCAGATTAGCATGTATCGGGAAAGCATTGCTTAGAATGTAATGCGTTCAGAATACCGAGCAGCATAGAATTGCAAATGTGCGCTAACAGGGCTGTGCTAATGCTACAATTTATGATATCTTTTATTTCTTTCGATCTTTCTCTCCTCTCTTCTGTTTCTGTTGTTGCTGCAATCAATTGATATCGCATCGATCGTTCTATTGTTAAATGGAAGAGGTAAAAAAAATGGTCAAGAGACATTGGTCCAAATTCTAGAGAACATTGTCGGATAACTGGAATTCCATTGCGTCGATACACACGCACGGTAACATGATTAGTGCGGTAAACGTGTTAGTATGCATTGATGAGCATCGAAAACCCTGCATAATGCCACGAAATACATAGAGACTGGTTTGAATTGGCACAAGCGGAGAAATTTTCTTCTTGCTTCTTCTTTACATGTTGATATGCCTCTCTTCTCCTCGATGCGCGCGCCACTCAAGTCAAAGAATCTGCATGTACACATAGCTCACTGGGAATGATCAAGAACGGCGGCGACGACGACGAGCCAGCAGCGTGGTGCGAGCAAGTTAATATATTGTGAGATAAATAAATTATTTTCATCATTTCGCACATAGATATCATAGAGAAAACACACGATCATCGAACGAATTAATTGCGCGATTCGCATTTCCAATATTCAATTCGATTCGAAACAACAACAGTTTTCCGCTGTTGCATTCGATATTCGTGAATTTTTTTCTTCCTTCCTATTCTACGGTATCAGTTGAACGGAGTTTTTCCAAAAAGTTTTTTTTTTCTTTCTTTTGAAAATCGTGTGTCATTCAAAAATAGTGTGTAATCATAAAAAAGCTCCGTGGCCGATGATGCTCATTGTTTTATAAGAAAGATTTAATTTGCCGGAAATAAAAAGTCAACAAGTCGTTTTCATTTGTCGTCTCAAATTTTCGTAAAAAAACAAACAAACAAACGCTAAAATACAGTGACCATGCAGTTAGTTTTGAATAAAAAAGTGGTGTTGCTGTTATGTTTCACAATAAATATCGCACAATTTATCGAGTGTTCGACGGAGAGTAACACAAGCAATGATCATGTGAATGATTCGGCTCAACAGCCGATTATCAAGGATTCGGTGGATGTGGTTGAGAGTGCAACCAAATCCAATCCCGGCGTTGTATCGAAGATTGAACACGCAAAAAGTATTCGAAATGCTGTGGTCGGTGGTGTACAGCACAATTATCGTAGCTCATATGTGGGCAATCGTTTGAATCGTCGCGTTGCAGTCGCGACAAAAGTAGCCGAAGTTCCAACGACCGACGAAATCCCATTGGTCAAAGCCAAGCGAAAACTTACCAATGAATTCAACGAAGAGATCAAGTACAATGTGGGACCCGGCGTCAACATTGGCGTTGAAAAAGAGAAGGAATTAGTTAGCGTTTACTTGGACGAAGATTGTCTTAAGGACGTATTCACAGGTAAGCACACCACTGAATCACACCTATTCCAACGAACAACGTGACCATTTCACACAGACCCAATTATTTAATTGAATCGTTTTGTTTTGTTTTGTTTTGTTTATTTTTTTCATTTTGCATACATGCACTCAAAAGGTCGAGGCCGTAAACAAGATTTGATTACGAAAATATTGCCTTTATTCATTCTACCATTTTTGATTCAATCGGCTGTTGTTCCATTTTTGGTGTCAACGCTCAAATTGCTGTTGATCAAATCGATTGTTGTTGGAAAAATAGCCATATTTTTGCTCCTATTGTCGGCATTCAAGAATCATGTGAAATATGGCTATGAAGCTGGGCCACAATTCTATCCAGATGTTCCGAATCGCCGGTCCGAGGCCCATTTAACGGGTTACCGTGTTGAAGGAAAGCCAGCCACTTGGATTAATTGATGATGCAGTTAACTGCCTGAACGACTACGTTTTCAAGCGACTTTTTTTTCTCTCTCTATTGTATAAACAAACAGAAAAAGAATAAAAACAAATCAAAACAAATACAGACACACACAAGTAAACTTGGTGCATATTTTCAACCAAAAACATAGGCATATTAATTCGGGAAACAAAGTTAGCAGACAGAGAAACAAAATAGGATGAAAGCATCGTCTATATTTATAATATAAATCATAATAATCTAATGAATACAATAGAATTTACTTCGTTTTTTATTATAAATTTGAAGAATCTGGCTGCAAAATAGAAGCGTTTAGTTGATTGCTGGAGCTGAAATCAATGTAAAGAATCTCGCTAAGTACAGAAAATGTATCCAATGCAAATTGCCTGCAAACTGTCCATTTGTTTGATCACTTCCAATGGGATTTAAATTCGGTATTTCAGCGGTTTGCGGCAATATTGCATTGTGACTTTTAGATATAGATGCCCTTCCGAAGCGAAAAATGGATATAAATTGTAGAAAGAAAGGAAAACACAATATCACATTGAAATTGAATCCGTATTGTACAGTCGAAATAAAGACACGAGCGCAACACAATTTTTGATTGCAAACAGTTAGATTCTTTGAAGAAGAAAAAAAGGCAAACATAAAGACCAAATATAATATACATATTATAAATTTATGTTCAAGTTTTATTTTATGTAATGTTTCTCTAATTTTTCGCAGACAATAAAGTTTTCCAAATAAATAGTTATGATTGATGTTTGTATTTATTATTATTGCTTTAGCTTTTCTTCTTTATTTTTTGTACTAGTTCAGACGCATACATTTCATGGTCATTCGTTTGAAACGTTATAATGTTTTAGCGTGTGTAATCGACACACATGTGATTGACGAGGAATATACGTGGAAAAGATTTATTTATTGGCTTGAAATTCCAAGTGCTAGTCGCCAATGTGTGAGTTATTAGATTTTAGAAAGAATTTTATTGCATCGATAATGAGAGGAAGAAACAACAGAAAAAAGCACTAACTTAATCAAACGAAAATATCATGCAATGGCTGGATTTTGGTCTATTTTTTCCAGCCATAATGATAACCGGTTGAAAATCGAATTTGTTATCTCAGGCGAAATTGATAAAAACAATCGCCAATTTTATGGCATTCAGTCGTTCGATCGATAGTTTCCAGTAAAAAACGACACAGGTATGGTTAACATGTTTTTTGGAATGTCATGTTTTGTACAGGTGTTTCAATTCGTGGATAATGTGACAATTTGATTAAGCGCTATTCTCTTTTCCCCGCATAGATTTTAGATATGTACAAAAATACCGACAAAAAACCCAAACGGTAATTGTCGGACTTTACAGGTTGTTCACACATTTTGCTTTGTGTGTGTGTAGGCGCGTACAATTCATAAAAAATCAATTCATTTGTGGCGAGCTAATATTGAACACATTGTGCTCTCCATGACAAATTGCGCATACGTCTACCTATCGGTATGTTATCTGATAGAAATACATCAAGACAATGTGAATGAGTGTTTTTTTCTCGCTTCTTATCAATTGCGTGAATTTGGTATTAAATTGAACTGTAGCACTATGGTCTATCGGTATCGATAGTCGAACTAGAAACGCAGTTACATTTTTGCTATTGTTCTGTGCACCACGATCACAAACCAGCTCAACTTAACTGAAATCCGAAATTGTGACGAAGAAAAAAAGAACAATCAACAAAATGAATTATACACTCTCCAGAATTCTTGGTAAGGTTTTAATGAAGAAAAAATTGTGCGGTTTCGGTTCTCTCGGTTAATATTGAATTTTCGTTGTTATTTTTTCAGGCTGGATAGCCGATAATAAGCTTTCAACATTCTTGGGACTTTGTCTATTCGCATTTGTGATCTCAACCATTGTTTTGTCGTCACAAAAATCAAGCCTTCAAGATCAATTGGATAAATGCAATGCAGCAACCGAGAAACCAACCGACCCAACAACAACGCAAGCTCCAGACCAAACGACAACGCAAGCTCCAGACACAACGACAACGAAAGCTCCAGACACAACGACAACGGTAGCTCCTACGACAACGACAACAACGTTGAAACCAGATCCATCAAAGGTAACTGTGAACTTTATTTAAAGATTTCCATTATACACCACGAGTACTACCATATTATATTCATGGGAAAGGCTAAAATCGTTTACAGCCGGACAGCAGCACAGAAAGTGGTGGTGAAGCTCCCCCAACAGAATCCAGCAACCGATTCCGGAGAAACGTAGGTGTTTAATAAACTACGCCAAACGTCAAGAGTGTTACCATCAGATAGGCTTCATTTTCCTTTGAATATGTTGTTGCTTCATTATATATAAAAAGAAAACGTAAAATATGTTAAGTTATAACATGGAAAATGGAAATGTAATAAAAGTGTCATCTATAACATAAGTAGTAAAGGAAGCTTGTAAGCAAACGGATTCTTTGTTTTACTTTTCAACTACTAGTTTTTTCATAATTCCTTTGATATGCATGAGCTTTTTCGCTGCTGAAATTTTTCGCTATATACCTTAATATGTCGATTGAAAATGGTTTACGTGTCCATTTTTACTAATCTCCATTTAATCACATTTTATCAACAAGTGCTAGTAGTGTTAGTAAAAAGGTTTTGACAACAATAAATCTTTGAATCAATACATGAAACGCATAAAGTGTTTCAATTCAGATTGACTCATCATCCGGCGTTGTCATCGACGACATACGTTGTTTGTGTATCGAACGAAATTCATGCCATATATTGCATGATATTTTTATTTTTATTTTTTCACAAATTGTCTTTTTGTTCTATTGATCGATCATCGGGTGGTCAGCGATAATGAAATTGAGATCGTAAAAGTAAAGAAAAAAAAACAATTTAAATGGCGACACAACTGGCTTATCTTCAGATAAAGTAAATGAATGATATATCTCAATAATTAAAACACAAAAATGAAAACGAAATCGACACACACGCGTATTCACTGGCATTTTACCATATGATGAAATTAAGGTGGAAAACCTAACGGTAAAGAACCTTGCCTAAGTAACGGAAAGTTTTTTTTTTATATTTTTTAAAATGAAAACCTTGATGTTCTGTAATCTATTTTGGAATTCAAGTGATTATTAAATTATTTTTAAGTGAGTCGATTTTATAACGAAATCCATTTTATAGAATGTTTATTCTTCGAATTGCTGTTTCATGTACGTGCGCGCATACGTGTCTCTCCAAAGAATCTTGAATCTTGCACCTTGTCTTTTCCGTTAAACTGCTCCCACTAACCCATAAGCTTTTTTTTGCGCATGATACTACTGACACTCATTCCGAACAATGGCTTCGAGACGATAAATAGCCATTTCTTGACCTAAGCTAAAGGATTTCGTTGAGTTCAATGTGATCTTTGCATACTAAAAATACACACGCAAGATGCAAACAGCAAAAAAAGAGAAAGAAATTGTACGATTCATCGCATACGCGAATTTATATCGAGTGTATAGCACGTTAAGATCTCATCTCGACTGCATCGTGTGTTTGGATTGCGCGCGCGCACACACACAAGCACAAACCGACAAAACAACATGAACAGCAGCAGCTGCAAAAAAATGTGTGGGGACCTTGACTTTCATTTATTTCAACGTTTTCGTTTCTTGTCTTTCTTCTCGGAATCACTTTTAGCACATCGTCATTTATATTGGAGAATATATACGCGTCTATATCTGTATTTTCATTCATTCACCAATGTTATACAACTGGTTGTAAAGTGTTGTCATACCATTTTTACCCAGTTTTATTTTTAATGTGTCGTGAAAGGTGAATACACTCCTTGCCGCGAGGCAACCTCCGCGTTAATGATGCGTTGATCTGTAAACAGGTTGAAATGAAAAAATTACACTGAATTTACGTTCGATACATACGTACGTTTGGGAAAAATCACACATACAAAATTGGCGCCTTCGTAAACATTGTTAAGAAAAAGTTATAGTTTTTCATGTTATTGAAATGATAGTTGATTTGTTTGGATTTGTTAAGTTTTCAAGAGCAATCCATCGTTTATTTTTTTTGTTTTGATCCGCATCGGCTTACTTTGGAAACGCTTGTTTAAATATGACCCAATTGCAATTGGAACACAGTGTTCGGAACACAGATGTGTCAACATGAGTCATCTCATCATCGACGACATTGAGTCTGCTTGGGAGTTTCGGGATGACAAAAGAGAGTTTCGGAAGAGAGAAAGACAGATAAACCCATACACACACATAGAGAGATAGAGAGAGATAAAGGAATAAACTGGATAAAATTATTATACATGGATGTTATGATAATAAGCTTTCCGTAAACCAAATAGAAAAAAAACACGAAAATTTCTTCATTATTTTTGCATTCAAATAGTTCCATCACCTTTTATTCAACCGTTCAAACTGATAACATAATGTCTAATATATGCCCATTGTTTTCAATTGGGTACATAATTTTAACAGGCACATAATAAGATAAAAGAAAGGTACAACCATAATAAATCACGATGATTGTACTATGTACTGTGTTTGACCTACATCACGGAGATTTGCAAGCGGCCGCGCTTGCATGATGATATGAAAATGATTTTTTTTCGGTATTATTTAATCTTCTTCTTGTTATTACTTTTTTTTTTGTAGAACACATATAGAATACAAAACACATGAATAAGAGCATAAAATTCATAACTATTAGCACCTTAAGTCAGTCACTTATCACTGTGATATGAGAATTACAGCGTTTGCTTATGATATGACTGTTCCGTGTACTACACGCTTCTGCCTTAGAAACTCAGTTCCAGTGACTGACTGGCTGGAGTGTGGTAGATTAACTAGGTGTTTAATTATTGTTATCGGTCACGACACTATTTTCATTACCAACAGCCAGCCTAGGGTGAAGAACAACAACAGCAATAACAACAACAACAACAACAAAAAAGCCGAAACGTGAACGTGGTTTCGCATACACGCACTCAAATATGAAATTTCAAAAGAACAATAAAAAATGAATTGAATTTAATGAATGAATGAAAGTAGGCAAATAAACGAATGTCAAGGAAGAGCGGAAGGAATTAAAATAAGCAAATTACACAATTTATTATGTTCGGATGATAATACACACGATGAACAAGCGCGCAGAGTGGATGAATGGGCGTATTGATGGTTAAGATTGCAGTGTGTGACATGTGTTATTGTGTATGTTTTCTCGCTTGCTCGCGCGAGCGCGGGCTCAAACCCTAACACAGACCGTGCTTTTGGCTGCGACATACGACAACATCAGTAATAATATATAAAGCAGACAACTCCTTCCAATATTCAGTCGAAAAGTGAACTTCTACAAAACGGTTCCTCCGGATACAAACTTTATTAATAGCTCTTTAAATTGGTTTTACCGCAAAGTATAAAGAACTATAGCTTTTTACGAAGTTGAAATAATTTAAAATTTTGAAATTTTTTTCTTTAATTTGACAGTCAGTTTTCAAAAAGTTACAATAATGAGAGTATTTATAGTAGTCGCTTGCTTAGCTGCACTTGTTAGTGCTGCTCCATATCCATCGGTTGACAACAATTTCGTGGATGAGGATGATGTACCATCAATCGATCTGTCTCAATATGGTTCGAGCATTTTCGGTGTGCCCAGCAATAAAACCGGCCAATTAGTTGCTACGTACGATCCAAGCACAAGCGAAATGAATCCAGAAGAATTGGGTGAATACTTGGAGGGAGACATGCTGATCCGGCCTGATTTCGGCAGAAACGGATTGATCGCTTCATCGTCACATTGGCCAGGCGGCGTTGTTCCATTCGAAATTAGCGGATATTTTGGTAAGAATGATCTTTTTGGGAATTAATTCCAATTTTTTTTTTGGTACTTCAACCACTAATTCCATTTATGTTGACATGAATCACAAACTAATTTGCAAATAAATTTCCGTTTCAAAATCAGATGCAAATGGTATGGATCTGATCGAGCGTGCCATCAACGAATATCATCGCCGAACATGCATTCGTTTCAAGCCAAGAACATATGAACGTGACTACGTCACATTCACAAGCGATTCAACTGGTTGCTGGTCAAGTGTTGGACGTATTGGCGGCAGACAAGTTAGTATTCAGTCTCCGATAATTAGTAAATTTTCAAGAAATATTTTGTCATCATAAACGCCTTGATTCAATTTGGTAAAATTCAAAATGGTTCATTTTCACAGGAAATCAACTTGCAGACACCGGGATGTGTATCAAAAGTCGGTACCATTATCCATGAAATGATGCACGCCTTGGGCTTTTTCCATGAGCAAAACCGTTCCGATCGCGATGATTTTGTGTTCATTAACTGGAACAATGTTCGTGCAGGTAAGTAACCGCGATGTGACAACATTCCATATACAAATTGATACGTATTAATTGCCAAAAACCCCAAATATCTGTGTGTCTTCTTTTTGTTTTTAACACGGTGATTAACCCAACGAAGGAACTCAATCGAATTTCGACAAACAAAGCAGTGTAACGACCACAGCGTACGGCGTTGAGTACGATTACGGAAGCGTGATGCATTATTCACCAAATGCATTTTCACGAAACGGTCAACCAACAATAACCGCCAAGGTTAGTGTGTTATTTTTATAAAAGTGTACGATTTGTCGTTGTTGTTCGTTCTTCTCGTTGTGTGTCTCAGCGCACGGTATGTGTGTGTTTTTTTTCTCGTGTTGTTGTTTGCGGCTTAATTAAATGGTTTTTGCTTTTTCTCGCATGCGATAACCGAAACGGTCCGTAAACCCAACAAAGAATAAAACAAAAACTAGTTCATAAATATCATTGAACTACAAGGTTCAAAATCAGAAATTCAGAAATTCACATAGGAATCGGAAATCAAAACAATCACCACATCTTAGTTTGATTCAGCACATTACAAAGGGATATTGCAACTTTTTTGACCAGAAAAAACGCCATCTTACGTCGTGCCCGTAAATTATTTTACTGTACATTTCGATGGTAGAGCTTGAACAAAAGTTCAACACTATGCATAAACTTGGAAAGAGCTTGATAAACTTGATGAAATACATATATTTTATGGTAGTTGCAATACCCCTATGGCACATTAGTATCATGTGGTTTCTATTCTATAACACAAAACAGCAATTTCCTAACATTTTGGCGATTTCACATTCATTCGACTTATTTGTTTCTCTTTTTTTTTGCATAAATTTAAAGTGATTAACATTTGTTTCGGTATGGATTCTACGTTTACGCATCGTCACTACACAATCAATTCAATCACACAACATTTTTGTGTTTAACTAGTGTTAGAAAATAGCGTTTTGTAATTTCATGCATCAGTCATTGATTGATGCCCGCTTTTTTCTCTCTCTCGAATGGTGGGCGAAATATTACCGACATGTGTGAATTGTCATTCAGAGAAGAAAAGAAATGTTTTTGTTGCTCATCATTTCCAGACTCATCGATTCAGAATGGATGTTGTATTCAATATTTCTTATATTTTTTCATTGGGCACACGCAACTTGTCGAATTCACAAAGAAAGTTCCGTTTATTCATTCAATCGAAAGTGCTGTCGTTATATTTTTCATTCGTTTTTACGTAAGTGATGTAATGATCAGTGATCAATTGTCATTTGTTCAATGAAATAACGGCACAAAAACGATACAAATGAGAGTGCAAAATGATTTGAACCAACGCATAAAATACGACAGATTGCATTGATGCGATGAGGGAGAGAGAGAGAGAGAGAGAGAGAGAGAGAGTCAAGTGTGAGAAATCCCATTGTTTTGTTGGAAATTCATCAATTGCTATTTCGCCACCATACAAACAGCCACAAAACGTTGTATCACATGAAAAACTGTTGTTATATCATATTACTCTGTGTTATGCACTTCTATTCGTTGTTGCTCTTTTTTTTCTTTGTTCCTTCATTCAACATACCCATTTTATGATCAAACCAAAACAAATCACAGACCAATGTATTTGGTTTAGACGAAAAATTGATTGAATCACTTGAAATATACAACATGTCATTCATGTGGAAAAAAAATTGATTGATTTTTTAGAGAGTCGTCTATTCATTGATGGGCCAACGTGTTAATTTTAGTGAGAGTGATGTGCAAAGAATTAACTTTATGTATCGCTGTTACTACAACTTTGACCAAAACTTCCAAAACTTCCAAAACTACCAAAACTGAGTAAAACTGAGCAAAACGATTGGCTAAAAAGAACGCTTTAAGAAACAGACAGAAAATTTTGCTATAAAAACACATATTTTGCTTTTGTTAAGTTATTTATTAAGCTAACCCATAACTAACGTTAACTTAAACCACCGAACAAATCTCTTTCAATATTTTATTCCCCATAATTTGGTTGCGGACTATTGTAGCGCTATGCTTCGAATAACATGGGCCAACGAGATGCATTCTCATCGGCAGACGTTGCAAAAATTAACCAAATGTACAAGTGTTCAAATGTTGATGCACCAATTGTGGAACCAAAACCACCAATGAATGCACATAACAATATTAACGAATTGGTCGGTGAAACCGATGGAACAACAACAGCACCGACATCCGTATCAACAGGTAGGCCTGCACCAAACAGACCAAATAGACCATTTTTGAATATGTTGGGCAATTTAATCGGTAATGCTTTAGCAAACCAAGGGTAAATGAAAACCAACAACGGAACACGAATGCAACAACAAAAACGACAAAAATAAGGACGATGGACGGATGCTTATAACCAAATAAAACTAGCTCATAAGCTCTAATCAACTTATTTATTCATTTAACTTTCATCTGAGGAGAGAAGTAGAGCGAGAGAGAGCAACAGAGAGAGAGAAGAGTAATTTATTTTAACTTATTTATTGCACTTAACTTCATCCAATTAGATAATTATTCTAATTTCTAACCAAAATCATTCATTCAATGAGGGTAATTCTTCTATTTACTATGCATTAGTTTTAATATACCAAAATGAAAAATTTGTTCAACCGATATCGAATACATTCGTAACTTGAAAAACAAAACAAAACAAAACAAATGGTTGTGGTTTCTTTAAAAATAACACTTTCAATTGAAAGGCTGGAATTGATGACGAATAAAAAACAAATTAAATATTTTCTTGTGAATCTCAATTCATCACACGTACACACAGCGAGGCGGTAATACGAGAGAAATGGGTCAGAGAGATGGATTAAGCCACCATGATATCCAGAAAATTGGCCGAATGTATAAATGTGAAAAGGATCAACCGATTTTCAATGCAGTTGCCGCAGCAAAACCCATCATCAGTGCTATAGCTGGCAGTGTCAGCACCAATCGACGATTCCAATTCGGTAGAGAGATTTTCGATACGTACACTTCACCACAATTTTGGCAACGTCTATTCACATCGTGGGCTTTCCCACAACAACAACAAAATCAACAACAACACCACCATCAACAACACCAACAGCAACAGCAACACCAACAACAATATCATTTCCAGCAACGTCAACCGCAACCATATTACCAACGATTTCCGCAACGGAACTTCCACGATTTTGGATACCCATTCGGTTTTGGATATTGATCATATCCCCTTGAAATGCACACGCACCCATGACTCACCACGGCAAAGCACAATCGCCATTTATTTATATATGTACTCAATACTCATGCCAAAGATCAAAGAACTAAATTAAGTCGAAAGATACGAATAAAAAATACAGAACACAATTTGCACTAATTAAAAATGATTTCATTTTTTTTATTACTTTTTAAAATTATACATAACGCAAAGAGAACAATATTTATTGTCTAATCACAATCTTTTTTTCCTTGAATATTTGATTATAATGTTTTTGTTGTTTGTTTTAAATCTTATTTCTTAGTAACATCGATTCTGAATATTTTCTCTCTTCTTTTCGAATATACTGCAGTAGTACGCGCGAAACAGAAAGAAAGGAGGAAAATATATATAGGATACAAATGACAGTAGTCTGTTCCTCACTTATTGTGTGCCTATGTGTGTTGATGAATTGTTTTTTTTTTTTTGTTTCTCTGTGACATTTTCTTTCTTTTTCGATGGTATACAACACGTTACTGGGTAGTAAAAAAAATCAAAATAAACAAACAATGAAAAGAGCATTAACATCTTCAGACCGGCAACGTCAATCGCCTATAAATATGCAACGCACGGATTAAAAGTTTACGGATCAATTGTATTGGATCAGTTTTGTTTGTGTCATATATTCCATGCATGGCATCGCTATTTTTCAACAAAGCTGAGGATCAGGTACCAATATGATAAACTTTTTTTGATTTCATATCGATTTCTTGTTGCATGCGGTTGGTTTTTTCAACTTTTGAACCATTTAATTTACATGATGAAATTCTTATGAAAGGATGTCATAATTTGTTGAAACACAAAAATCACAAATAGCACTAATAAACAAATTTTCGTTCGGTTTTTTTTGTAAAAAAAGAGCCCAAAAACGAACACACTTAATGTTCGAGAATGGGATTTTTCTTTTGTTTTCTGATTAACCCGAGCTGTTATCATTATTTGCATTATTCTATTTTTAAAAAGAAATCAAAACTCTTCACTTAGCATATATTATTAAACACAATTATGAAATTCAGCACAATCTATGGCGACTTGGAATTTTATTGGTGATATTCATTCATTGGAATTGAAAAAAAAAAACGGCTTCGATCAGCTTTGCGTTTTTTTTTTAATTTTTCATTCGAAATTATTTCACTTGTTCTTTCTAAGACGTAATTTTTGTTTTGATGAAATATTTTCGTTTTGTTCATTCGCAAAATCTTCTCTGTCCAATGCAAAGAAAATTCGAAAATCGGAATGGGATCACAGTTTATAATTGCTATGTGAGTGTGACAGACAGCAGATTTGTTGTTCATTCTATTCGTATTCATATACATCGACAATAGTTCAGTGATTTTCGTTTGTGATTTCTACGAAACAGCAAACGCCAGCAGAAAATTGATTTAAATGGTGATTTAATTTTAAAAAAATTATTTAAATTTATTGAAAATGTAATTTAAAATATGATGGCTGAAAATTTGAAAGCTCTTCACTATTGTGACGGTTCTGCCAATATTCTCGCTTTCTCCAGATTCAAAAGCAGAACACAAAATTATTCCGAGTTGTTGGAAGAAACAAAAAGCAGATAATGTGAGACGAGAATGAGTCAGACAGTTTGAAGCAATAATGTATGCCCAACTTATCGGTTAAATACATTAACGAATGTAGTATCACTGATAAAAAAAAGGCACCATATTTGCAATGTTCTCTGTTTTTTCTTTCATTCCTCTGTTTGAGATTATAGATTTGTTCACGAGTCGGTCAAGTAGTGTTTTGAGTTCGAATTCGCAACGGCAACTGGGGAATTTGCGTATGATAAACATGCATATCCTGAAAACAAATGAATCATCATCGGTTCCGATTTCCATTTTAGTTTATGAAAAACTCTCAATTCCCATGGCGATTGATATCACATGTTCGCGAGAAGAAAAAAATAACGGCAACAAGACGAAGTGAACGGAGAAAAAACAAATCAAATCATCGTGTTCGATGCATAGTCTTGTGTCATTCGTTAAATAAACAATTGTGTTGTATGAAATTTGAAGAAAACAGAGAGGAGAAAATGCACCCTAATGCAAACTTAAGAAGAAGAAGAAACAAAAAAATGAATGTGCGAGAGTTTGGATTATTTTTGTGTCGTAACGAAAAGTCGTTTATTATTGCTTGAAGACCTCAAATTAAGGAATCATCGGATTTGAATAAAAAAAAAAAAAACAAACATAAAATGTGTGAATCGAACACTGCGCATTGACTTTCATTGAAATAATTTTGCATATCGTTCAATTTAGTTTTTTTTTTGTTCAATACATTGCTTTTTTTGTTTTTTGTTGTATTTTCATAGTCTTCTTACGTGCTAATCGATTTCATTTTAAAAGAAACTTTATAAAAATGTACTCGGTTTTTTTTAACTAATAATTCATTCGAAATTTATATTTATCTTTTCGCTTTTAAAAAGGCTAATCTTCTAGTATTGAAGTATTTATTTTTCGGTTGATATTTTTTTTTGCTCATTTTTTTTTCTTTGTTTTCTCTTTTGTCATTGTTGTCCATTGTTGTTAATTAATATTACAGACATTACATACGTTAAAAACATTACAAAATCCATTTTTTTCTTTGTTGATTTTTTACTCTTCTTTTTTAAATTTTAATAAAATATAAATTGACGATACATCAAGTTTACTACATGTAAATATTGAAATTTTTCATTCTCCACTTCTTTTTCTCTCTCACACACACACATACACACACACTTTGATCCGTGTTTAATTTTTTTTTTTCTTTTTAATAGAATTGATATCTATAACTTTAATAGAGCTAACTTCAGCCATCTTCCTTTTGGTTTCACAACGCTTTTGTGCTTTTTGGCTTTAAAAATATGTTCCATCTTCTTCTTCTTCATTTTGTTTCTGTTGCCTTTTTTTTTGTTTTCTTTAATTCAATATTAACTATCGATAGTTTGTGAGCAGTTGTTTGCAACTTATTTAATGTCTGTTGCAATTTGTTCTAAAGCAAAAGATACCAGAAGCAAAAAAAAATGGATTTTAAATCTATAAATGAAAATATTTGAAATGGATTTGTTGTTGTTGTTGTGTTTAATTATTCATCTGTTGTATAAATCTGGATTGAGGATTTCCGTGAAAAGTCTATGCTACGTATATTCATTCGTCGTCCCTTTTCTCAGTTTTCACGTCTAATTTGGCGCACAGTTCTTCGGGCGAACACCTGTTGAAATGGAACATTCGAATTAGAATTGCAAATCTTTGGATGAACTCAATGATCATCAAATTTGATCAGATCCAATTTGATCTATCAATCAATCAATCAATCAATCGATCGATCGATGACTTACCCAATTAAATTTTGTAAATCACATACGAATCGGTACACGTATCGTTTTCCAGCGGTCTTATGAATAATATTTTTATCGTAATAGTATCGCAAACCGCGACTTAATTTTTCATAATTCATTTTTGGCTTATTTTTTCGTACGCCCCATCGTCGTGCAACCTGAATGAAACGAAACAAAATTAAACAGTTGTAATTATAATGTGCTTTAAAGCATAAAATTGTGGAAAAAAGAGCAAATCCGTCGAAAGTACTCACTTCATCTGGATCGGTGAGTTTGAATTCCCAGCCTTCGCCGGTCCATGAAATGAAATTTTGGCAAGTTTTATCCATCAGAAGCTCCAATAAAAACTGCCACAATTGAATTGGGCCGGTGCCGTTAAAGCATTGAATACCACCAGCTGTTGGATAACCACCGAGAATCGTCTTATCGATTCCCATCGTTGTCATGTAAACCGGATGCTGAAAATCCCCATTGTGAGAATGTTGTACGTTCCAATGATCCGATGACGTTGTGCTACTGGGTACGGTTTGGAACGCTGGTGAATCGTAGGTTGAATAATCGGGATAGTTATCATGAAAACGTCCTACGCAACATTTGAAAAAGAAACAAAGAAAAAAAATGCAATTAATTTCATCGCTTTATGTTAACAATAATTAGTGGAATTAAGCGACTGCACCGCTGATATTTACCTCGTGAATTGAATGGGTTTTTATGATATGGTTGATTGTATTTCTGTTCAAGCATACCAGCATAAAATTCTGGGCTATTTTCTAAATACGGTGGTTGATTCTGTGCATCTTGTGACAGTGAATGATATTCAGGCTCCTCATATGGACCGGGATGAGTAAACAAACCGAAACTCTACAGAATGTCGAAGAAAAACGATTTAGTCGAAATTCAAAAAAAAAAAAATGCAAAATGAAAAAAAATCGAATATCAAATTGAAAGAAAAAACGGGGTTTTCCAATAAAAAAAGATATTGCACCAAATGTCGTAGTAAATTTCTTGACTTGTACTTACTGCCATATCATCTGGACCGTTTCCATTCACAGCGCTGGAATAGTTGTTTGCACCTGTATTCGGTTCTTCTTTCATATTTTGTATACTATATGCTCCAGTGGACGTTGATGAACTCGAGATGTTCTTGTGTGCTGAGTTTACTTGAACATTATATGACATTGAATTTTGACTAACTGGCTGATGTTGTTGCGGGTGTGCCAGCATTGCTGCTGATGATGGTGAGGAGTTTTCATTGCGATCATGAGGTGCATTAAATCCTAAATGAAATGAAATCGAACCAAAGAAAAAGTAAGTAAAAATGTAGAATATTTTGCAAAAAAAAGCCGAATTCAAAACGCAAAAATGCATACAAAAACACAAAGAATTCGCTTCAAATTGATCGCTTAAAATCATGTTTAATTCATAAAATATATATATCAGATCATTGCATATCATTAAATAATGTTTCGCATGGCGAAAAAACAAATCATAATCATAAATCACACATATTTCGGCCATTTATCTTCGTAAAAATGTATTTGTGTAATGTGCAACAAAAAAACAACATCATTTTGATTTAAATCGTAACATTCATGAGATCTTCAATCCAACAGCAACAACAACAACGACGACGACGACGACGACGACGAAATGTATTGAGCTCAATGCTGAAAATTATTGCTCAATAGCCGAAATGCTCGCAAGCGACTGAATAATACGTGTAATGGTGTTGATAACTTCAACCCAAAATCTCATTGTTATAAGCCACGCCCATGAGTTGAAACTGATTTTCCTACCGAATCAAGTGTGAACGAAATGAATCGATTCGAAGCGAACGCGACTGTAAGTGTATGTGTATACACCAATTAAATAACGTCAAATTTTGTGCTTCCAATTGGGAAAAAAGCGTGCGATTGGAGATGAAAGATTGTTTGAGAAAAAAAACACGACAACAACAACAACAACAACAACAACATAAACGAAACAAAATTGTTGTACATGTATTAAAAATACGACCCATTCGGTAAGCAAATCGATGTTGAATTCAATAGTGACGAATAACAAAGCGTCAACTTTCAAACAAAATGAAGATGGTTTCGATGGTACACGTTTGGTAGTACACAATGGTTTTTGTGTGACCCTTTGTCAAATTGGTTTGCTATTTTCGAATTGCTTGATCAAAGTGACTTGCAATCCACCAAATAAAAAACTAATCATTCTTACCATACGAAATATAAATATTCCCAGATAATAAGAGAAAATTGTCAGAACAAACGCATATTTCGAAATAAAGTGCGAGAACAGAAGAAAAAAAAGTGGCAACCAAATTATGTTGATATGCAATGAATTCAACATTTGCCCGGAAATTAGTTAAGAATTCCCAAAACATATTTCAAAACATTCTTGTTCATTCGGTAAAGAGAGAAAAAAAAATTGAAAAACGAGCATATTTGCTAAGACAATATTTTAGATTTAAAAAAATAAAACAATGTTAGTTGTTGTGTTGATTTCAAACTCGTCATTTAAAGAGTACTTTATCGGTCGAAATCCGTGTTTTGTGGTCATTTGTTGATGTATTATTTGTATTGTAGTCTCTTTTTTTCTTTCTTTCTTATCACAATTCTTTCGGTTGTAACAAATCTCTGTCATACACACAGGGGGTGTTGGGCACAAGTGCAAGGATATCTCGAGTAAGTCAGGCATATTTCTCATTTGTATTGTTGATAAAATAAAGAGAAAAAAAAAACGTTCTGTACCGATACGCGATATGAATGACCGTTGGTGATTTCAGTTTGAATAATTCATGTTTTTTTTCTGTGAAATAGCCCAAAAACTGCTGGCCTTATATTTACTTAACAATCGCTTAGGAAGTAGATAATATTGTTTGTTATGAATCTGCATCGTGTTTTGAACAAAAGGCGAGAACGCACACCCCGCTTATCAGAAAGTCACATTGCTTGGAAAACAAACATTTCTGTGAAACAAGCCGGTTAAAGTAAATAATTGCACATGAATTAATATTGTGTGCGTCTGTGGCTGGTCGCGATTTCTTTTTTTTTTTCGTTGAAAAAAAACGAGCCAGTTATTGTTGTTGTTCCTTTTGATTGTGTGTATTTCGACACAAGTGTTATTTCGCTTAAAATTCGGAAGAATGAGATTTCCGTTGAGCGTTGTTTTATTTTTAACATTTTAAATATCATCCCGCACCAACGGCTTCGACAATTGTAATATAAATGAATGGACGGACACATATACACATACACACACGCAGTTTTGCGCACAGCTATGAATTATATATGAATAAATGAAAAATAAAAGAGCAGAAATAATAGTGATATACGCAGTTATTTTCATTTCATCAGCTTGCGAATTTGATGCAAGCTGCGCAATATTCTTGTGTGTATAATATTCAGCGAACGAATAAGCATGCTTAACATAGCAGCGCTTCGTTGAATCCATTGCGTACCCGACAACGACGATGACGACGACGACATCGAGGACGACGAAAACGACTACTGCCACACATTAATTTGGAATTAAAATGTTTTATTTTAAATATGGTAATTTATTATTGACATAAAATTATCAAAGTATGCATTACATCATTATTGATGAAAATGACGTGTGCTGTGTACGAGTACAGCTCTCGTAACAAAACTTGGCCCATATGCATATCGTATGCAGCCCTTTCTTCTGCCCCGTTCTCGATCCACATCTTTCTCCGATCGTACATTCTATGCGGAAGAACCAAATGCAATGTTTTTGTTTCCTTCTTCTTCGTCAAAAATATCAACCAAATGTGTTTGTGAGTACAGCAGATACAATTTTCGCTTTTGCACCAAAAGGCACAATATATCAGCGCAGTTTTCGCTTCTTCTTTTCGTTTAAGTTATACATCAGCCCTCTCACTTCCTTTTATGCTGTGGCATTATCCATGCAAAACGACCGAATTAAAGAGGAAAATAAAGAACGCACACACAAAACCACTATAAAAAATTAAATGAAACTAGGTCAGAATTGCATTGGCAGTTAGAAAGTTACACATGCTGACATGTTTAATTCATAATTTCCTTCGTGTGTTTATAGATTAAAATGAAAGTGAGAATGAAAATTGCACGTATCGATAAATTCACGCCAGTTTTTTTTTTCTTCGCCTTTTTTTCCATTATTATTGGCGGTCTTTATTTCGTTGCTGTGAATACACATAAGCACACACAGACAATGCGTATAATCGTTTAACGCTCGTCTAAATGCGTTAACAGAATTAATGTGTACACCATCTAAATTGGCTTCGATTGACCACATAACATCATGCTAAAGTCCATGTGCGAATTTTTTTTACACATTTTGTGTGACTCAACTTCATGTACGGTGCACTCCGCCAAACGATGAGAGCGAGACTACACGGCCAATGTTAATAATTGGAAGCAATTGTGTCAATAACTGGCCAGATCACAGGCTATACAACAGCCTCCCGAACTCAAGTGTACCAAATGGGCCGTCAATTCGGTCGCTTAGAGACATTGTCTCGTCGAGATCGTGCATTTTGATTTATAAAGAAATCTCCCATTTTTGGGGCAGTGCTAAAAAGAGTTTGACGATCATAAGTACTATGCGCAAGACTCTACCAAAAGCTAAACCTTTGCGGCTCAATGTCGATTCAAGACTAGCATTTCGGCAATAATGACTAAAAATCAATGACTTCTAATCGCCTTGAAAACGGCGTCCAAATCTAAAACATTCATATAAAACTTCGTTTCTCTTTGTGGCAAAATAATTAATTGTTTTATTATATTTTTTACGGTGTGTTGTTGTTGTTGTTCTGTGTGTTTTTTTTCGTTAGCTTTTGAACGACGAACTGTTGACGTCCAATTAAATTCTTATGCACTTAAAAATTTCAAAGCCAAAAATAATAAATTCGTCTAATTCAATGAGCACCAAATGCTTGAAATCCTCGAACCAGAAAGGGCAGTAAAGCGTGAAAGCTTTTGCTCTACGTAAAAATCAGAACGATTTAGTGCGTTTTGAAATGTGGTTTGTATGCGTGTACGATCGCAAAACGAACCACATTAAGCAGTTTCATTTTCCTCCTCAACTGTGCGCGTTATTATGTGGACTGATCGCATGCACTCATCAATGGAAAAATTATATTTGGTTTTTTGTTTTTGTTTTTTCTTTCGTTTGCAACACACTCTGCGCCACGGTTTTGTTTCAGTAAATCCTATCGAAAGTTGATTCGCATATTACCCAACATCCGATGACATTGACATATGAAAAGTGAATATATGTTTGATTTTTATGCGCACGAATAGCCGAAAATATTGCATAAAATTCAACATAAAATGTATGATCATATCCTTGGGAACGATATTTCCAATTCCATTAATTGTCTTGAGCTATTTGTGCGTGTGTTTCGTTCGCATTGGAATGATTCTATTCGATGTGATGGATGTGTTTGCGCATTTTCATTAATTTTTGTGTTTTTTGTTCATTTTCCGCATTCTTTTCCATACTCCGGCGTAATGGCGTTCCAAATTTTAATGAATTGCTCATTTGAGTTAATGAAATGAAACACATTAGCATCAAAGGTTCTTGCCAACATTTGTTGTTAAAAGAGTAAATAAAATTTCGGCAACAATTCCATGCGAAATAGCGCGATTCGGCATTTTTTGGGCACTCACACACACACAAGTGATCTGTTCTTCGCTTTTTAAAAATTTATTTCTGTCTGGTTGTTAATTTTTTTTTACCTTGGCTATAAACTGATGTATCGAGATCTGTGTATAAAGCAGCGGTCGATGGTGCGTAGTCACCCATATGTGGTGGCAAATAATCGACTCCACCACAACTGGCACTTAACTCGAATGATTGATAAACCATACTGTCACCAAGATTTGGTAAAACTTTATGATCCGGGGTGCTTACGCTACCCTCTTGGGTTTGATGCACTAGACTTAACACTTTGAATTGATGCACTTTTCAATCAAATAAATGAAATTATGCATGAAGCTTTTCCTGTCTTCTTCTACTTCTTCGGTTTCTCTTGATATTTTTTTTTCCGAATTTCTTCACTTGAATTCAATAGTTGGTGCTTTGCGTTGATTTGATCGTCGTTCGTTCTTTTTGAGTCAAATTGGTGAACTATTCGAAAACTTGGTCAATCACATTACACATTCAAGAACAAATCAATCAATTCACAATTTCAAAATTCTCTCACCGAAGTGAGTTGGAAAAAACGATTTATTTTGGTAGAGAAAAAAAAGTGATCAGATTTTGC